CACTCGTTTCTTTCAATTTTTTTTTCCTTTTTTTTCGAGCTCGCGCGCTCTCTTCCTCGCGCATTTCCCACGTTGCGTTTCGAAAGGGTCAAAGACTCGGGAGAGAAAGAGAGAGAGAGAGAGAGCTTGGAAGAATTTTATTGATTTAAAGCTGTCTATATAACTACGGCGTATACAGGCAAGGACCGTAGAAAAGAAGCTTTTGAATCGATATAGAGCCGATAGTAAACTTTTCATTCCTAATGACTCGACCGTTTCATGCGATTAAACGAAGGTAGAGTGGGACAGAGACAGAGGGGAGAAAGAGGGCAGAGATAGGAGGCGCGCACACAACCCATAGGTGCATTATATCGGAGGCTAAAATAAACAAGAACAATCGTAAAACTTTTGTGTGTTCGGGAGACCCGGCGTGTGTACGTACATATAAAACAGGTCGACAAAAAAAGTAACCATAGCAAGGAGAGAGATAGCCCACGAGCACCGAACGTGAGGATATAAAAGAATTTGACACAAGCGCGCGCAGTTCCTTTTTCTTCTCTCTCTCTCCTACTCCCTCTCGTCTCGCTGTTAGGAAGGATATAATGTAGGTCGTATAACGACGTAAGAACAGCTGCTGCTACACTACTACTACCACTACCACCACTAGGAGCTGCGGGCACGATAACGTAGATGCGAGACTCGACTACTACTCGGGGACGATCGCCACACACACACACATACACAGCCGCGTGCACTGGTGCGCGAGTGCACATTTGTTTTTACTGCATTCCCAAGTCGTTGTTGGCCCGCTGCTGCTTCTGCTATATGCTATATCGTTATTTATAACGTCTGCGACGTGCTGCTCTTCTCTTCTCTCTCTCTCTCGCATATAGTAGAGAGCGCACGAAGAGATGAACTTTTCACGTAGCTCTAGTAGTACACTCGCGCAAATACGCGCCAACATGTATATTATGAATTGCTGCGAGAGAGAGATGCAGATTGCGTGTGATTACGGGGATTTTGAAACTTTTATTATTGCTTCAACTTGCTTTAGCTACGCTTGTACACGATACGATCTCGTACTGCTGCTGCTGTTGATTTTTTTTGCCTCCTTTTACGAGATCGAGCTTTCGAGTGTTTGTTGAAATTAACGCGCGCGCGCATACGCGTCTCGCAGTTTCGAATTCATCAATTTTAACAATTCATCGCTCCCGCGGAGAGTAGTTAACTAGTTTGCATTCGTATGCATGTATGTTGTGTGTGTGTACTCTTGTTGCAGCGCAATATAACGGCCAGGGCCGAGCGAAATAGAAAATTCACGTACTACCACTACTGCACGAATCGAAATTTCCATGGCAATTATTTAAGAGTTTATTATACGCGCTTTGGCTGCGCTGCGGGAAAAATGCCCGGGCACATTTCTCAAGCATTAGCTGCTGCTGCTGGAATAAAAGAGAAAGAGATTGAAAAAGATTTACAATCCATTAGGGCAACGGTCTGAATCCTGCGGAATTAACTTTAAATCGACGCGCTTATTTCACTAATTTCGGTAATTAGGATTCCGAAAAATAAATCCTGTTATTAGTATTATTATTATTATTAAGCCTTTATAGGATAATGAATCTAGAAAAAATTATTCGTAAATGTTGAAATATTTATCATTGATTTTTCTTTAGTTATAGTCTCGAACTTTAAATTATTTAATTATCCAAAGTAAGCTTGCAATTCCGTGAATTCCCTGAACTCGTAATGAAAGCTTTATAATATCGTCAAAGTGCATAACGAATAGCAATAATAATAACGAAATAATAATTGATATAGTAGGAGCTGGGCAAATCAAACATTGACCATGCATTATATTGCGGTGGGGAATAACGCAATATTTCTTTCAAATATACACCGTGTGGGTCATAAGGCTGGGCAAATTCGTTCCATAATGAATTTACTCGCTGAAAAACGTCGACGACTAGAGAGCTTAAAAAAAATTGTCAAAATTTTATATAATAGCCTCGAGCGGCTTCGTCGTCGCATGCTCGGGGGGTAGGTACTAAAATGTCGGAAATTATCCTGCGCGCATGTAGAGAGTAGATATATACGTATACATAAAGTCATATAACTACGCGACTTTGCAACTCTGCTCTGCTCTCTCTACTACTTGGACGGCGGCACACGCTACTAGCGTAAGCGTCGTCGTCTGTGCCTAGGTGCACTGCCGTGCACGTATATATATAGTATATAGTACATATAGGTCGAGCTCGAAGGCATACGCGGAAGACGGATTATTCTTATACTCATGTAAATTTAACCGTATAGTAGTTTGCCGACTCTACTACTAGCGTCGTCCCAAGCTGTTCCTCATTTAATGAGAGTGTCATTCGCGCGCGAGAAAAGTCTCTCTCTCTCTCTCTCTCTATGTACATATAGGTACAGCAACTCGTGTAGCAAGAATTTTCCATTAATTACGAGAGAGCGGCAACAAGCGCGCGCGTACCTCGACGTTAAAAGTTAACCCAGAAAAGAGAGAACCTATACCTGCCTGGCAAGAGAGTTTAAGAATCGCTGCACTTGCGCTTCAAGTGTGTATACTACTACTACTACCACTCGCCCTACTCTCTCATAGTAATTGTTTTTCTTTTTTCTTAATACACGTACGTGTAAGTTGTAGAATTCAAAATTGTCTCTCTCGCTCTCGCAAAGCAATTCTTTATAACTGCACATTTGCAGCTACAGCTGGAGAACGTGCGTGTATAAATTATAATATTTGCCTTTCGTTTTTTCGCGAGAGTTAACAATAAAAATATTTCTACAATTTACTAGATTTGCACCGAGTCGTTTTTTTTGTTGTTTCTTTTCATACTGTACTGCTCACAGCACACGCAGTCATATCGTTATATTCTAGCTTTTATATTAGAGCAGCGGCAGCAGCAACAGCAACTAGACGACGAAGACGAGTTAACAAGATGAAACAGCATTAGAAGCCGATGACTCTGTGCGTATACGAGTTTTGCCGCTTTTGAAGAAAAGCTGCAGCAGCAACGAGAGAGAAGAGAGAAATTCGTCCGCATTCGCGCGATGCATCTCTCTCTCTCTCTCTCTCTCTCTCTCTATCCTCTCTTGGCTGCTGCTGCAGTTGCGTGTAGTGCTAAATTCACGGAGAAATACACGCGTATTACTGCGTGCGACGTAGCTGCTGCTGCCTCGCCCGCCTTTGCGCGCGACAGTCTACACCACCTGCTATGAAAACGGATGGCTTCGTTCGCTCACGAGCGCCTGCTGCTGCTGCATATACATACGACTGCTCCGGGTCTTTCTCTCTGTCTCTATATATATGTCTTCATCTTGTCGGCCGTGCGCGTCCGTGCGTATGTGCGCGACATTTTTTATGCATTTTTGCGAAGCTTACATTCCAAATGTACCGGTTATTAAGCCGCTCGACACTTTTCCACGCGTCTATTTTTCAATTTCCAGTTTTGATAATTATTTATATCGCTCTCAAGATTATACCGCTGCTACTTCTTGCGTGATTTGGAAATTGAACACTCCCGATACGCTTCTCTCGTTGAATTGCGCGTGCCAAGACCGAATCGAAGAAGAACAAAATCCACTATCTTCCCCGTGCGAAACCACCGCAGCAGCATCGAACGGGTAGTTAGCTCGTCTAGCTAAGTCACGAATTTATGTATACTTTATTTTATTTTATTTTTGCGTGGCGAACCACCGTCACTCAAACCGTTCTAGCTTCAATAATGCGGTTCTGCGCGCGCGCACAGGGTTGTGATATAGCTATAGCGCACTTGTGGTTTTATTAAAATTTCACCGCTCGAGCTATATGTAAGAGAAAGAGAGACATATAGAAGATTGCGATTGCTATTTCTTTCGGTATTTAGGACACTATTTCATTTCGATGATTCCTTCCGATTGCCACACAGATATAGATTCTTATTATTCTTCCTTTTACAATAGAGAAATATTAAATTTAGTGTGTTCGAGCTGTAGCAAAGTGCAAAATGTCAAGAGAGCAGAAGACGAATGACACCCTTAACCGAGCTTCGGTTTATTCGCCGATATTTCAAGCCAATATAAAACGACGTATTATGTAAGAGGATCTTTTGCATTAATCAGTCGAGAATAATAAGAGAATTCAAAAGTCTAAATTGCGAATGTATAAATTTTAATATTCAATCGATCTTCTTACTCATAGGCTTGATTTTTCTTCGTGCAAGATCGTTACTTCGGAATGATTAAAATCTGCATATAAATATTAAATAACCTGAAACTGTTCAGAGTAACGTAACACAGAGGTGGCGAATGATACCTTTAAGTGTTTACTTTCTTTTCTATAGAGTTACTTAAATCGTTACCACAATTCATTTCTCAATAAAAATAATGACCCAGTGAAGAAATCACGACCAATGTTTTCAATGTTTTAAAATACCTCATCATTAAAAGGCTTGTTTTTTACGATTTTCCAGCTACTATCATATTACAAATATTAAACGTCCTTTAAATGACTTGAAAATGACAATTCATTTATTTCAAAAAATTAAGACTAGTTTTCAACCACTGTAAATACTTTGAAGCTCCGCCACTAGATGGCGTGTACTCTTTTATCGGTAAATATGCAACTGGTAAAGTAAATATAATTATATAAGTCAAAGCACGGGTTTATTAAATTGTTAATTTATTAAATTGTTTTTTTATTGACCATGCCAATTTTTTCGTTAGCCAAAAACTAGCTATAAAATGTTAAGAATTTCTCCCAGAGATATCGTTGAAGTTTTGCACTGTCCCTTGAATAATATGATGAAGCGAACCGATTCCACATTGTCGCTATCATATTTGGCTCGTTAAATTCATAGTCACGTAAAATACCAATACGTACCCACCGCACATATATTATTCTGTACATGCCACTCGTGCGTATTTTAATTATCTTAATGTATATTATTGATTCATTTATTCGTATTAAACGCACACGATCGTGGCATTATTAATTTGAATTGTTGTTATTATTTTTGCAGCTCTGAAAAGCCTGAACCAATTGCCGTCATCGAGTGACGAGTCACGTATTAACAATGTCGTTGCAGCGAAATCGGCTCTCCTCTTAATGCGCCGCATCTTTGCAGATGCTCAGGTGAGCAAACGATGATATATTTCTTTAAACTTGCGCGAGTATACATTTATATACGCAGGGTAAAATTTTCCAACCGCGCTTGAAGTAGTGACCGCGGCTGCCTTTGAAAAGCCCACCCCCGATGCAAAACCAAATGTTTTTGAACTAACTGCACTCGGGGCAAGCATCGCTCGAGAGTGTGTATGACCTACATTTTTTTTCAGCAAATTTATAGCACTTAAAGTTCTTCATAATGGCAGAAATGTTTAAAACGAAGGTATATAGCTGCCGCTGCTGCGAGTTGCTGGTACACCCTGTGCCACTGAGTGCAAAGTTCGAATGCCTCGGAGCATGAATCGAGATATCTTCTGTATAATAGCGGGTACAATATTGTATCGTTGCTTATCGCGCCCGAGAGCAAATTTGTACTCGTATTAGTCTATTCAAAGATTGGGTACTGTATACAGGTATGATATATACATTCGAGCCTATTAATTAATGCGCGCGCGTACACACACGCACACACATATATATTCACGCCAAGGGAAACCAGATTGAAAAGTCCAGGCACGTATTTCATCGAAACGCGTGTGAGCGCGCGCGCGCGTTCGTACCACATGACCTCGTTGCGCATTTATACGGTTTATCATTCACATGCCATCATCGTTATTATTTTTCCGCTCGGACGCGCGGCTGCGTAGCTGCTGCCATTTTCATAATTATTTTTGCACAAAACGTTTGTAACAAACGTATCGGAGCTGTGTTTTGAAATTATCGTCGTTATGAATCGCGAAATTTTTAATTGCAATTATATACCCTCTGAACTCGTATGATAACGCGTGCAGGCTCAAACCCCAGCGAACTTTGTCTTTAATCTTTTTCCTACTCGTGGGTATTGCATCGCACCCGCGAGAACACATCGATGAAGTTTCGCTTTTGCATTAACTAATGATTGCGCGAGTAGTATGAAACGCCGCTCGCATGAACCTCGCTGTCAATTATTAAATAAGCATTCTTCGCCTTTTTTCTCTCTCTTTTTTCCTCCGTCTCTCGCGCTCACTCGTCTAGTCGATACTTTTCAATATATAAGCGAGCGAGAAAAATCCCGCGAGTCTGAACGCCCGTGCGCGCGTCGTCACGCTCGTGGCACGAGAGAGATAAAAGGGGCGAGAGAAGAAGGAAAAAAAGCAAACCAGCAGCGGCTCGTGCCTGTCTGCTTTTCATCTACTCTACGCGCGTGTTGCCAGCTCGCTGCTACATCCCTTGGATGTGCTATCATCACGTACGTACCTAATACCGCAGGAATTTCGTTTGGCGTTCACGAGAGTTACTACACGTGAAAAGCATGTAAATATATCAGAGTCTAGCCACTTGAACTTGTAGCCGCTGCTGCTGCTCTCTGCAGTGTTATCGGTTTTCATTCTGCTCATTTTTTCTTTCTCTTTTTATGTTACTTCGGTGGTGGTTGCCCATTGTCGGCTGCCGCGTTCGTGTCAATAAGTATTAGCCGCAGTTATGGCCATCGTAATTTTGACGGAGCTGCGAAAATGAAGATGGATCGACCGCGATGATTTTTTCCAAGTATTTTCCAGCTAGCGTCTCGCGAGGATTCGTTATTTGTGACTCTCGTGCGCGGTAAATATTTTGCTCGAGTATACTTTTGAAATTCAAATAGTCACTGTGTTACGCGAGAGAGATGAAAAAATTGTGCTTCATTCACTCATTCAGGCCAGTCAATTGTAAGTGAAATTAAATTAAAAGAGAGGCAGTGGCGGTACGGAGATGGTTGGATTTTTATGAAAAGCTCATCAAAAATGTGCTTTATAAAGCGTGTACCACTCTTAAATTGATGATACACGAGAGAGAGAGAGAGAGAGAGAGAGGAAAAAAGAAAAAAACGCGAAGCAGTGTTGCCTTTTTGCAGTTTCATAATGGCAGTACATAGTAGGAACAGTTTATCATAATTATTCATTTAGTCCTTTTAACAAAGTTTTACTTACCTCTCTCTTTCTCTCTCTCTCTCTCTCTCTCTCTCTCTCTCTCTCTCTCTAGTGCGCGGTACATTCAAAACCCTCGAGGCGAAGAAAATCTCTGTACAGTTGGCAGCTTTTATTACGATTCACAGTGTCTTAAATCTATTTGCTGAAAAGTTTTCCGCGCTTTTGTATAATAGAACGAGAACGAGAACAAATGCATGCGCGATGGTCTGAAAATCAGAATATCAAATGCGCAACTAGCTTGGCTCTGTGAGCGATTCGACGTGAATCGATTACATAGAAGTGTGTTAAATTTAGGTGAAAAAAAGCTCTCACTCTCCTCGTTTTATGTAGAAGTGCATAGCAGCTGTACAACGGTGAAGTCTGACATGAGAAATGCGCGATTAGAGGAAGGCTTATTAAAGGCAGTGTGGTGCTCGCGTCCATTGGCAATTTAAATCCCCGGCACGCGGCTGGTGATAATTCATCGTCAAAACTAGCTTATGTATATAATACAGGCAGCGCGTCATGAACGAGCCACGGAGTAAAGAGAGTATAACAAGCAAAATGCAAAAATGCAGTAACGGCAGCACCATCAGCATCAGCGAAGTATCGAAGTAACATAAGCCGATCCGTATAATGCGCCGGACATGGAATATTTTTCATTTATACAATATAAACACGCGTCGCGTCGCGAGCGAGCTATAATCGGCTTTGGTACTGCGTTATACACACACACATACAAAGAAGAGAGATCCGCATATGCATATATAACTACTACTATACGAAGGCGGGCGTTCGTGACAATAGTTCACACGCGATTGCCTATGGCGAGAGAGCAGGCAAAGCAGCAGAGACGAGCTTTATATATACGTATAGTGCAGCACGCCGAATCGAGAGAGAGAGAGAGGCGTACACGGAATATATTTACCTAGACTAGACCGGTCTATGCAGAGGATAGTGTGGAAGATAAAGATATAGTATGGAGCTCGAGCGGGAGAGCAAGTGTAGAAGCATGCTAATTTATGGAATTTCGCAAAGCACACACACACACACACACACACACACACACACATACACACACTGAGCATCAGAGGGTACTATAGGTTGAGTTTGGATAGAGATAGAGGCGAAAGGGGTATAAGAGAAGCGATCGATCGAGTCTCGCGTTTGTTTGAAGATTACGATTTTCACTCTGGCCTCTATACATGCGTTTCATTGGATATATCAGACTGTGTGTGTGTGCTGTGTGCTGCGGCTGTGAGTATTCATTGCGGACTCACTGAGTCTAGGTATCTGCGCCGTACTACATGTACGAAATAGTTTCAACAACTATGCTGCACCTTACGTGCTTCGAGCTGCCACACCGAGAGCGGGGGGTGGAGATCGTTCAACCATATTACTACTCGGGTTTGCTGCTTCTGCTGCTGCTGCTGCTAAATCGATGGGCTTCTTTAATTTTGTGCGCGCAAAAAAAGCTTTATTTAGTTTGTAGAGACACGTCTGCTGCTGCCGCCCGTTTTTTTGTGCAAGATTTATCGACCCGCACACGCTTGGAGTACATCCTCGAAAGAAGCTAATCCATTAGTCCATTCATTGATGGTCCTCCGAATAGAGCAGCAGCCCGCGCGTATACATATAGAGAGAGAGAGAGAGAGAGAGAAGATCCAGTGGAGCGTCGTCGTTCTCCTCGTCGAGGCTAGAGCTGATAACCGCTTTTCATTACGCGAACAAGCCACACGTATATATACCGCACACCATCGGGGCCGGGGGGATGACGCTAATGAATCGCATTGCAGTGTGCAGTGCGCGCAGCTAGTATAGCAGTGCACCGGATTCTCTCTCTAACGCGTTTGTCTTGCTGCGCCGCCGAGGCTTTGGACTTGTTGTACGCGTCGAGATGAAAATTAATAGCCCAAGGAGAAATGACAAGTTTTACCCCTGCACACGGCCGCCCGAACATAGGTTCTAAGCGATAGATTTATATTCAAAACTGCTATCAAGGAATTGCCATTCGGAGGTTCGCTTTAAATTGCGGATTAGGTGAGGTACACACACGCACACACACATGCACGTCGGGATGATGGATTAAATTTCCAGCGAAAAACAATTTGCTATCGCGATGAAAAACTAGAAAAAAAACGAAGAAGGAGTAAACTTGCATTATAAATCGCAAAAGGTGAGATACCGTCCTGAGCTAAATGAATTTCTTCTTGGGGATTAAGGATTAAAGGTTCATTAAAAAAGTTTATATCCTAGTTAGTCTTGGTCTTAAACTATTCAGCCAAGACAAATAGTTGCCCATTGAGTGGGGTAACAAAAAATAACGCAGCATGTTTTAATTCTTTTTTACGAGGTGTACTTTCTGCTACTGCTTCTGCTTGTCGCTCTTATCTGTTGTTTACACAGATTCTGTGTGCCGCGTTGTTGTTTGGTTTATAGTTAACACTTACCTGCCATCGGCTTATCTCTCACTTTCTCTCCAAATTTTCATTGTTGTTAATGTTGCTGTTGTTGTCTTTCGTTCGCCAGGCACTCAACAACGTTTACGTATATTTATCGTTATTTTTACTTCAACTTTGCGGAAACCAAAATCCCTGTGGATGTGCTAACTCATTAATGAAAATTGCGCACTTATGCGAGCTAGGTGAAAAATTAAAATTTGATCGAGAGATATCTTCTTTGCACTTTCATAAAGTTTCATTATCATGGGTACTATTTTGTATCTACTTATATAAATTGATATTGTACGTACAAGATGATTATGAAACTGTATGTAATAATAAAAATTGGAAAAATTCTCGCACTATCGCAATCAATTTATTCTAACTCTTACGTAATGACTCGGGTCCGGAGGAATCGTTTGTCCGACCAGGAAATAGCTTTTCCAATTTTTAATTTCCCCAGGAACGTCCCTTAGCTACTAACGAATAAAATTATATCTTGCCATATATTATGTACCGAGCAGTGTAATGAGGCTTTTTTTCAATATGAGCCGGCTTGATTGCAACGTTTTATGAGAAGACCATGCCGGGCTTAAGTCATAATTCTGCGGAGCGCGCGTGTATCGATCGACCGAAAATACAAGCGCGTATCGGAATTTTACTTTGTATGTTGGAGGAAGTTTGACTAAACAACGGATTAAGCCATATAGAGAGATTTTATTAAAATCTAATTAAATCCGACAGTTTAATCGCATCGAAGCTGGCAAATCATTAAAACTGTTCAATGTTAACAATGAAATAGAAAGAACTAAGAATACGTTACATTGTTGCTTCCTACTTAAGAAAAATAGAAAAAGAAAAATATTGTTTACATTTTGGATTTTTGACAAATGTCTGTAGACGTTTTCTCGAAAATGAGACATCGAATCGTATTAAAATAAACCGTGAGGAATATTTCACAGCATATTTTGCGTATATGTGTAAGATAATTCTGCGCCTTCAAGAATGAAATGTTCATTATAGCGTGTCATTCATTTTGGTATAGTTTCAAAGACGTGCGAGTGCCTCTGTGTATCGCAGTGAATAACTGCGCATCACCAGTCGATAGTGGAAGGAGAAAATAAGTAGTTATCATAATCGCAGGTTCACCTGGTTAATAATGAGTAGCGCGAACAGTCGCTAGTGAGGAATTCGTGCAGTAAACAAGTGTTTATAAATTGGTGATATCGAGGAACAGTGTTCACTACCTAAAACATATAACCTCAAATCGCGAAAAGTCACAGGGATTACACTATAATCAAGCAAGTCATGGAAAGCAGAGAGGACTCTTTTAGGTATAACTTTTTTATGCATACTAAAATAGGGTACTTGAACCAGTTATTGACCGCCTTCGACCAATAAATGACCTCTTTTGGATATGCAATAATTACACTATTTCCTTGTTACATGGCAACCAGACACGAGAAACGAGATGCATAATTCACTTATTATACAAATATACTTTTAATCGTTTTTCGTCGTATACATTCTAAAATCATCAATCACTGGTCTAACTTCCCTATTTTTTTAAACAATCGCTTCATCGGATTCGATTATGCAGGGTGAAGGAAGAGCCAAACGATACTTAACCGGATGCAGGCAACGAGAATATTTTCGATCTGGTGGACACTTGCAAAAATGAAAACTTTGACACATTTACATTTTATAAATCGCCAGTGAGTTCAATGATTGTAATTAAGTTCTTTTTTTCCGCTATCAAAAACTATTAAAAAATTTTAATTTTAGGCAAATCACATAAATGAGTTGAATGAACGAATATTCATAGATTTGGAATGCAAACATGTCAAACTTGAACCAAAGTCTGTATCAAAAACTGTCTGCAAAACTGAATATCAAAGTTGGCTTCCTTTTGTGAAAAAAGAAAATGAAACTCAGAACAATTACTTGCAAGAAAAAATGCTATTAATTTTAATAAGAAAAGGATTCAACTACGAAAATAACAGTCGATTTCAAGAAAATTCCTGTTCGAAGCTTGTCGAAACCGAGGAAGTCAAAATACTGAAAAAAATAAATCGAACCAAATTATCTCATAAATGTAATTTGTGTCAAAAAATTTATAAAGAAGAGACGAGTCTAAAAATGCATATCAATACGATACATAAAAGAACTAGGCCTTTTAAGTGTAAGATTTGTCACAAATTATTTGGAAATCAGTTGAAACTTGAATGACATGCGATGACAAAACATAATCGTAGCAAACCTTTCGATTGTGAGATTTGTCACAAATCATTTGGGCAGAAACATCACCTCAAAGATCATATCAATGGAGTACATGATCGTAACAGACCCTCCGAGTGTGACGTTTGTTACAAATCATTTGCACAGAAAAGTCATCTGAATGTTCACATAAGTACAGTACATGATCGTAGCAAACTCCTCGAGTGTGACATTTGTCATAAATTATTTGGACAAAAAAGTCACCTCAAAGCTCTCATAAATGCAGTACATAATCCCAGCAAACTCTTTGAATGTGACATTTGTAAAAAATTATTTGGATACCAGACAAACTTAAAAAGACACATAGATTCAGTACATAATAAAAGTAAACCCTAGGAGCGTGAGGTTTCTTCCGAGACATGTAGACAAAATTTGGACTTCTACACTCACATGTTTACTCTATGTAATTTTGGAAAATCTCTTCGCGAAGAACAATAAAGTACCTGAAAATGTCATTAATTTTGTCGTGATTTAAAAACCGCTGCCAATTTATTGGCAAAGAGCTTCCTCATAAAAAATTATATTAATGAAAGGGTTTGGTTGTTAAAGGGAAAATTTATATTTCATTTTTAAATTTTGATTGAAATTGTCCGACAAGGTCTGGTTCCAAATCTCATTTTCAAGCCTATCACATAACTTCCTCTATGAGGAGGCAAAAAACTTTGAACTTACCTTTCTTACATGAACTAAAATATAAACAATTTTTCCTACTCTGTATCGATATGTTAGCAGAAAATCTTTGCGTTAAAGCAAAATTGATTCCTAAACTTCGCATGTTGACTCCATTAACGGTTTTCCTTATACGGAGAAAATTCAACAGTATCAATTTTTGAAAATGAAGCTCTATAAGTATGGACCTTTGTGCACACCCAGTGCAAAGCACATGGTGTATCCCATAATAGAAAGACATTATTTCGTCATAATTGATTTCTTACGATCAACTAGGTAGGTCAATATACGCTTGCGCAGCATATAAATGTGTATAACGCATGTAATCGATTCTCTGTGAAACCGAATGATCAAATAATTTTTTTTCTACTGACTTCATACATGTCCACAAATTTTATAAGAATTTCTGAGATCGTCCATCGCGCTCTTTCAGAGGCTTGAAGTACTTAGTTTCTTGTAATACTTTCGCACTTGAATGAAGAGTATTTTAAAAGTTGCATCTTGAAAATGAAGTATCGTCTTCTTTTATTTTTGGATAAAGTCGTTCATATCATGTTTAAACATTTATCATTTTGAATGAATTAAATGTTTTATTTTATTAGCATTCATTTTCGATTATACCAGACCTTACAAGCTTGATATAAGTTGGCTAGCAAATAAATATTAAATTTTTATCTATTTTAATCATGTTATATGCGATTCACGGAAAAGAACATTATGTAAAAAAATTTTTGGCGATTAACTTCTTAATTTTGCCAGAGTGGTCTTGCGTCTTGATCTTTTCCCCTATTTAATTCTAAATTTACGAGTGGCACGAGCCAACCGTAGAGGCAGTAGAAGTGTAGAAGATGAGCTTCTGTGAGGGAAAAAAATTTGCAACAGATTGACTCTCGGTAGTGTCTCTTTCGACCCTCCCTCAGACTCCATTCGTTGGTTATTATATATAGGGAGTTATATGCATGCGCGCGCGCACTCGACCCTCCATGCTCTCAGAGTGTATATCCGTACGCGGCTAATCTACGTCTAAGAAATTATCCCTTTACCGACCCAACCCTGCCGAGCTCGCAAAAGAAAAAAGACGTTTATCTCGCGCATTGAAGTGCAAAAAATTGCCCTCCGAAGAGGCCACTCGTGTTCTTGCAAAGAAGTCGATTATTATAATATTGAAAAAAAGGGGAGAGAAGGAGACAGAGAGAGAGAGAGAGAGAGACGAGGTTTCGAAGCGAAAATTACGACACGGGTTGCATCGCGAGTTCCCGCGGAAGATAAATGTGCAGCAGCAGAAGATGAGCGAGACCGATACCGGTGAGTTGTTTGACGAAAAGTGGTTTTCCCAAGCGTAGTATCGTGTGCTATATACGTTGCGAAACATCTCTCTCTCTCTCGTGAAAGTATTCACAGGTCGTTGAACTCTGGGCTTTTTTTCCTGCTACGGCGTGCGAAAAATAACGCATATATATAGAGTAGCTTCTTCTTTTTCCAATTTTTCTTTTTTTTTGTTTTTTTCACTCCGCGAGCCAAGTCATACGTAAAAAGCTGATGCGAAAAGTTTTTTGGGCTATATTTTATATGGAAAAGTTTCGCGTAAAAGTCGATATCTACAAATAATTCCGAGATGGGTGTAGGGAGCGAAACTAATGCGCCGCGCGCACAAGAGAGAGAGAGAAATTAAGAGAGATGTACGAGCAGGGGTTATAAAAAATGCAAAGAATTAGAGAGACGCGCATGAGAAAAGTCTACTTCGGCAACGAGGAAAAGCCCCCCATGGGTGGATTGGCGGTATACGTGTTGAGTCTCTCAAGGCTTACTGACGAACCATACACGTAAACGTTTGCAGCACGCGTACCACCGCATCTTGTATATATATCTCATTTTCATCGTGTTTATCCCTATTTATTTAAGGCAAAGAACTACTAGCCGAATCAAATTTTCTTTTTGTTTTGTCGTGCGCAGCCAGCCACCGGCTCGTGCGTGCGTCTAGGATCTGAGAAAGGAAAAAAAGAAAGAAGGAAAAAGTTTATCGCTTGATTCGTTCCACTCTCTCTCTCTTTTCTTTCTCAATATATTTTGTGCTTGCGGACTTATATAAATCAAATTTTGTTTGTCGTACGCGTGAGCTAGCTACTGCTCTACTCGTATTTTCAACGTTATTGTATTCTCAAAGTTATAAAACCTTTATACGTTTGTGTTTCTTATTCATATAGTTTTCCACATACAGTGAGAGAGGAGCTTTTATGTAATAGATTACGTGAAACGCACGACTAGTTCTCTCTTGTTCTTCACTTTCTTAGCAGCAGCAGCTCGCGCGGCAGTGGCGGAGCAATATAAACTTGATTTTCTCACCCCCTCATGTAGCCGCGCGCGGCAGCTCTCGCAATAAAGGCTTGGTAACTAAACTACATATTGGAAATAAATTTCATTGTATCGAGCTTTATTGCACGCGCTAGCTTTCTCTCATCGCCTGTCATATTTCCAGGTAAATACCCTGTTCCACAATTACCGAAGCCCGTGCGCCTTTTTGCGCTCTCGTCTCTCAAGACTGAAAAGTGTATTTCGCCATTTCGTCTACTCTCGATACGTACGTACACCCTTAAAATTTTTAGCACAATGCCTTGGAGCTTTTTCCCCCGTGCCTTCAACTGCTGCTGCTCATGCTACCGCCGACGCTGTCTTCATATCTGAGAAGGTAAAGAATATGAGCAAAAAATGAAAAAAAAGAAGCTGCTGGCGTGCATGAGCCCGGAGTCACATAGCGAGAGCTAGTCATATGGAGAAACTTCTCTCTTTGCGCTCTCTCTCTGCGCACTACTTCGCGGCCACTTTGCATTCGTGCATTTTTCGGTACGAGCCAGGCGCATTCTTGCGCGAAATTTTTTTTACGTGTTTTCTTCCGCTACGTAGGATGGGGGAGTGCATAGGATACTCGGGCGTTAGTTCGCACAGACACGGTGAATTTTTTTCCCCTCTTTTCCCTTTTTTTCGCGAATCACAGCCAAGTACGTCAATTTTATAATTAAAAAAATTGTCGAACGAAACGAAAAACACGATGAAAAACTTTCCGTGTTCTAACCTGCTCTCGTGTGTGTCTATATAGCTTGTGTCTAGCCCGGGCGAAACAAAGTCAATACGCACGAGTTGCGACAATTCGACGTGAGCAGAAAATCCGAGAACGAGTAGAAAATATCGCGAGACGCTCGTTGAATTATTCACAAAGGAGCTGCTGCTCTCCCAGGGTCAAAGACGTCCAATAAGAAGAGAAAAGAAGGTAGAATAGGAGAGGAAAGGAAAAAAAGCTACTCTACCCACCCCCTGGTCGTCGTCGTTGGTGGAGAGAGAGACTGAATTAACGAAGGGAGTTGCGCGTTCATTGCGTATATAAAAAAAAGGCAGGCAGCTAAAAAGTAGAAAAAAAACAGAAGAGAGAGCTTTAATAATTTCAATAGGCTATAAAATTACTTCTGCGCAGAACTGAGTGCTGGGCGCGCACGATGAGAAAGTTTGCAGTCATAGTAGCAAGTTCGAACGAAACAAGTTGTACGTATGGAACACATGTTTGTTGCATCGGCGGCGGCGGCGGCGGCGGTGGCCTTTTTTACGACTCATTCGATGTGTTAGCATTGAAAAACAATGTGGAGCTTAATGCGTCGTCGACTCGCCCTAATATCGATCCGCGTCGCGCGCTCATATACGAATCGTATTAAAGCCGCCACAACCGTCTATCATCGAGTCTGCTACTCACTTTCCGCCTTCGTTTTTCTCTCGAGGTCTTTCTCGATTAATTTCATACACGCTGCTCAACTATTGAATAAGTTTCGCGCGTGACATTAGTGTGTGCGTTTAAACGACGCGAGCATGAAAAGTCGCGTCAGTTTGTACCGTAAAACGCGACGACGTACGAGGAAATTGGAATATTTATATTTAATGGCATAAAGCATCAATCTAAACACGCGAGAGAGAGAGAAAACCACACCTAAAAGCCGCGCATTTCTGCCCCCGTCAAAGCGAGAGAGCGCAGAGTTGGAACGATTCCACTCGAAAAGCTCGAGACTACTCCATTTCTTCGCAAGTTGAAATGCTCGGCTCGCTCTCGTCGACGATCATCATCATTATCATCTTTGTTATTATTCATCGCGTCTAGGCAGCTCTCTCGCAGTGAGTAGCCTCATTGATCTCTTTCGTATTTTATATAGGGGCGGGGCGGCCGACTCGAGCCGCAGTCTCTTCTTTTACTACGTACTCGCTGCAAGCTCTCCGCGGCGTAGAGAGAGAGAGCATATAATACCAGTGGGTCAGTCGAGCTTGCCAAGTCCGTTTCTCATTACTCTTGAGCAAACTGTCAGAGGCTAGATTCTAGTTTCTTTCTCTCTTTCTCTCTCTCTTTTCGTCATAACGATGTCGTCAAAAAAGGGCTAACGTACACACAAAGATGCGAGTCACGAGATATATATATATTACATAAATTACATCAGCCTGGGTATATAGGAGTGCGGCGACGGCCGGCCTCAGTTTCTGTAGCACAAAGTTTCGAATAACTGAGTTACGAATTTTCTCTGGCACGTCTACACGTATAACTGAAAATTGCCATTCACACAGCTTCATATAGTACTATATAGTAGAGGCGGCAACGACGACGACGACGACGACGACGACGACGACGACGACGACCATCGAGTTCAATCAAAGTAAGATGAGGCTGCCGGAGGTCGAAATTTCTACGCTCCGAGAGAGAGAGAGAGCGAGAGCACAGCGTCATACACACACACGATGTGGTGGTGGTTTCAATCTTGCCCCCATCGTCGCCCGCAAAGTCTATAGTATTTTCACAAACTCCGTTCCTTCGTGTGTTATAGAGCAGAGTACCTACATACATACTCGTGGAAGCGGCAACTCATACAAAACGTCTCTGCGTGCGAACGGTGCCTCTTTGATAATCAAGTCGATGATGACGACGATGATGATGACGATACGTGTATTCGACGCTTTTCCCCAATTCAATTATTGAAAAGCTATATGCACACACACACGAGCGGGACACACGGCGTCGTGTCGTTTAGTAAACAATTTACGAGTCTATACAATATAGTGTATATAGTACCCACCCCCTCGATCGCCTCTGTTGTTGTTTTTTTTTGCCCACTCTCTATATCGCTTTTGTAAATCTATATAATACACGTGGAGCAGCAAAAAAAAACGAGCCCGAGCCCGACCGGGGTATCAGCGGTCAATGGGGCGTGAACGCATCGATACCTACACACACACGCGCGCGCACACACAGACGGCGATTATAGATTCATCGAATAACGCTTAAACGGCAAAAATGAAAAAAAAGAACCCTCTTGGCAAATAATATTCATGGGGGAGTATATAGAATCGCGGACCTTGTGCGCGTGTATGTATATATTTGCCAAAGCGTAAGTTTGATAAGTGACAATTTCTTGGCAATGTCCTGAAAAATATAACGCGCGCAGGAGGACGCGACGGCATAACAGAAAGCAACATCGCGGAAAACGTCAACTCCAAACTTCACTATGACTCTCCCCCGTTCCCTTTCTCTCTTTATTTTTTTTTTTTTCTGCATTTTCCTCCCTCTCTGCATATATATTCTTATGATACGACGTAATAGCCTGGGACGGTTAAGAGTGAGTCGGTATAAGGAGCAGCGAGAAAGAAGTTGCTTTCCTTATCTTCCTTCTACTTTGCCTTCTCTCTCTCTCTCTCTTCGTCGTCGTCGTCGTCGTCGTCGTCGCCCGAGCCGACGGTCGACTACTACTACTACTACTATGCTTCTTCGAGCGCGTTCGGCGAGATAGGAGAGATGCTAGGGCTCACATAGACTTTTAGAGGATTGCAATTTCATATATAATAAATTCAACTGCTTCTTCTCCACTCGTTTCTTTCCCTCTCTCTCTTTTTTTACTTGCTTTCGACAGAAGAGCTTGCAGCAGCCGACTTCATCATTATTACACACGGCATATGCAAGCTCTCTCTGCACCCGTGTGTGAGTGAGTGTGTGTGTGAGCTACGCGAAAACATAATATATATAATAAAATGCATAAATTTGTAAAAAGAATTATACCGTGTCCGTGTTCGTGTCCGTGTGTGTCCGCGCGTGTGCGAGCTCTTATACAAGTGCTGACGTGTGCCAGGGTTATATGAGGCTGAGGCCGGCGCGGCGCTTCGGCTTTGTACGTACTCTACGTGCAGGCCAGAATTATTATTTCGCGCACAGCAGCTGCAGCAGCCTGTAAGCGACACATACCTGACCTAAAAAAAATACACACTTACACATCCCACACACACACACCCACACACACTGACTCGCGCACTCGAGGGCAGCAGCAGATTTTTCTTTGGGATGAATAATTTTACGTTCGCTCAGGGGGCTTTATACTACATATCCCGCGTACAAAGGTGCGAGCCGTGCTGAGCGCGGGGGGCGATTTAGGAGGAAGCGCGTAATTGCTCGGATAGAGCTAGCTAGCTTACGATTAACGCGCGAGAAGCCTTTCGCGAGTAATTTCATTCGAGACAACGACTCTCTCGCTCTCTCTCTATGCTGCTTTGCTACTGCTTCTGCTACTACTGTGTGTGAATGCGAAACTGCAGTCAGCTAGTGCGAAGACGAATCCAACGCGCTCCTTTTAATAGGAGTCAAAGGAATACACACTGCAGCAGTCGTATATAGACGTGTATGCGTATTAAAGCTCCTGAAAGCTCGAGGAATTCGCCCATGTACCGCTGAGAATATTACACTCGGAATGGTCCTCGCGCACACACACTCGACTGCGCTATACGTACATTACGTACAATACGTACGTGTGTGCGTTTGTACGATTCGAATCTCTCGCTATATCCTTATATAGATGAACATCTCGTCGAGAGAAACAAAAGCAGCCCCGCGCGAAATATACGTATAGCCAGCTCTCGCGTCGAATTAAGGTTTAGCAGCTTGTTAATCCATCATTGGCCTGATCCGGGTGGCGAGCTTTTGCCGACGAGCGAGAGAAAGAGAGAGAGAGTAGTATCGCGCACGGAAACTCGTCAGCAAAGTCAAAAGGCCACAAGCAGCAGCCCACAAGTTGCTCGTGTGCCCGCCCTACTACAGTACCATACCTACCATACCTAGCGCGGCGCCCTCCGCAACAGCACGCAGTGTAGCTTACAACACAACGCAAAGGCAGTAGTAGCAGCAGTAGCAAAGTTTTCGGGACACGACTATACTGCATGATATCTTTCCGTGTATGTATACGTATGTATAAAGCATATAGCCCACTGTGTGACGTGAGTCGAATTGCTTAGATGGGTGATTTGCTCGGTACACACAAGTGAATGTGTTACGTATACGTACGATGATCGTGTATATGTATGTACACGCGCACAAGGCGAGAGAGCCTGACCCGGCATGTATATTAATATTTTTTTTCTCGCTCGACTACTGCTCGACCTTTTTTTCGCGCGAGTCGAGGCAATCGGTCTTCTCGCGTGTGCTTACTACTACTCGCTGGCCGGCTCGCTCGCTGAGAGCAAAAACGAATGCGCGCGAGCTAGACTTCAGCACGTGCCTGCCTGCCTGCCCGTCCGTCCACGCAGCTGTAGCTGGCCAAATGCATTTTATATATTATTCAAGCGTAAAAGAGATCTTCCCATTTCTTTTTCTTTTATGCACTACTATACGTATAGCAGGATAAAAAGCCCCGTATTTTTCAACGTGGGTAACGCGCGTGTAATCTCTTCTCTCGCTCGCTCTCTCTCTCTTCGTCCGCCCTTGCGCGCGCGCGGGGGATGAAAAACGGATCCTTCCGTTTCTCGCGCACGCATAAAATGCAACAAGTTCACGTTCGCATTAGCGCGCGCGTGCAAGCACACGAGCTTTTTGGGAGATAGCCAAAATGGACCCGAAGATTACTGTTTGTTTGATTTTCGAGAAGCCACACTGTTGCTTACGCCCGAGTGCAATAAGTGTCTCTCTCTATGTGTGGGTGTATATATGCGAGGCACAGAGAGAGAGATAGAAAAGAGATATAGTTAGATCCATTCGTCTGGGTTGTGGAAAAGGGCGTGGCGGGGTCTATGGCTCGTGCTTGGCTCTCTCTCTCTCTCTCTCTCTCTCTCCCTTTGGATTTAATCTGGAATTGAAATGAGGTTCGCCCTGCGTAATACGCGATCCTTGCGCACACAAAGCGACCGACTACTCGCCTCGAGTCCTGTAATATTATACATTTGCGCCGAGCGCAGAGAGGCTATTCAGCTGTGTTATATCAGCTCTCTGACTCGCACAAAAAAAAGTATTATCACCTCTTCGATTCCCCATACTAAACGATATGCTTTTATCTTTGTATAATTTCAGGCGAAACTTCGCGTGATGGTGGAGGAGAACGTAGGAGCGGGCTTGAGGCTCGAGACCGAGCTGATCGACAAGCAGCAGCAGCAGCCGCAGCCACCGCCGACAACGACGACTCGACCGAGCGTGCAGGCTGATCAGTGTCCGCCTGTACCGGCGCGTCTCAATCACATCAACAACAACAGCAACAACAGCAGCAGCGGCAGCAACAACAATGTCAACAACGTCAGAAATAATCACGGGGGCAGCACAAGTTCGAGCAGCAGCGCCAGCAGTACGACCAGTACGGGTGGCGGCTCGACCCCGAGCAGCAGCAGCGGTGGTGGCGGTGGTGGTACTGGACCACCACCGGCCAACGGACTGGCAGTACCTGGACACAATTCGACCGGCGCTGTAGATCACGCCGTCGTCGACTCGGTCAACAACAAGCGGCTGAGCAGCGGCAGCAGTCCCATCGACAAGAGGAGCTCGCTCAGCGACAAGAGCGTCAGTCCGGTCGACAAGAGGACCAGTCCGATCGATAGGAGCAAGGACCCCGGAGACCGAGCCAGTCCCCTGGGTAAGTTCGTTGCGCTTTCGCCATTTGATATTATCAAAAAGAATGTAATACTCTTCTATTGAAAATCTGTACTTTATGGTAACACTATGCTTTTTCTCTTTTGGTTACCGAACGTTTGTCTATACGCCAGCTAGCGCTAAATTATGAACTACTGCGTGCCTGTAGAATTTCTAATATTCTTGCCTTAGTTCTTTATATATTAAAGTTTTGGATTCTCCAAACATAATGTGTTATTTTTAATGCGAGTACCATCATTAAATTTCACCAAATAATAGCAGTATTTTTAAGTCGTTTTTAACACTGCGTGCGCGAAACACGGGCTTTCTAACCTTAAATCGTCAGAAAACCCTAGTTTCTCGCAAGCAGAGTTAAAAAATATCGTTTACTACTAGTCCGCGAGGAATTTGACTCACCCAGGAGTCTTTGCACCCTCGCTACGCTCTGGTGAAAACTCCTGGATGAGTCAACTGCTTCGCGCACTTGTTACAAAATATACTATTCTATAATTCATCCAGTAAATTTCCGGTAAGATTACTTTAATTTTAATATTCTAGATATTTTATTAATTTTAGTTAATATACAGGGTGTCCCAAAAGTATGGAAACTTCTGAAAAGCGGCCAAAATAAGCGGGGAAAAAAGTGGATAACCCTATATTCGACGTATTTTTTCACGGGAAATCCAATGGTGACCTCGGATTTGACCTTGAACATAACCTCAAAAATCAATTTTTCAAATGTAACCCCCATTTTTTATTGCAGATTTGAAAAGAGCGGAAAATTTCACGTCGAAATGTATGTTTTGTTTTTTTTCAAAGACCAATTTAAGGGTGCTACAGGCTCAAATGAAACCCCGATTTAACCTAAAATTAAACTCAGAAGAACTTCATTTTCTAACTGTAGCGCCCCCAAAAATGATATTGGAAAAAAAACATAAGTGGCTATTCAAACGTAAAATTTTTCGCTTTTTTCAATGGTGACCTTAAATTTGACCTAGAACATAACCTAAAAGCTGCAGAAACTCAAAGTCAAGTTTTTACAAGGCAACCGCAATTTTTATTTCAGATTTGAAAACAGCAAAAAATTTTATGTTTGAATAGGCCTTCATGTTTTTTTTCCAATATAATTTTTGGGGGGCGGTACAGTTTGAAAATGAAGTTCTTCTGAGCTTAATTTTAGGTTAAATCGGGGTTTTTATTTGAGCCTGTAGCACCCTTAAAATGGTCTTTAAAAAAAAACAAAACATACATTTCGACGTGAAATTTTCCGCTCTTTTCAAATCTGCAATAAAAAATGGGGGTTACATTTGAAAAATTGATTTTTGAGTCGCTGCAGCTTTGAGGTTATGTTCAAGGTCAAATCCAAGGTCACCATTGGATTCCCCGTGAAAAAATACGTCGAATATAGGGTTATCCAATTTTTTTTCCCGCTTATTTTGGCCGCTTTTCAGAGGTTTCCATACTTTTGGGACACCCTGTATAGTTTAAAAGATTATAAAAATATGCTGATTTGAAAAGTATTTGTTATCTGCGAATAATTTCTACCGATGAAGAAACGAAAATCTACAAAACTAATTTTTCTGCTTTGATTGCAACACAGATCGTCGCAACGGCTCGCCTTGCGCCAGTCCAATAGACAAGCAGCAGCCGCAACTCTCCCGACGACCGCTGATGCCGGCCCTGGAGAAAACGAGACTGGCCGGATCCGCGGGCAGCAGTCTAGACTCGCGCTCGGACTCGGCCAGTCCCATAAGCGGCACCCGGCCCTTCTTCCAACGCGCGGGCAGCGAGCGCATGCAGAAGCAGCAGCAGCTTCTTAGGCCACCGAGCAAGCAGGAGGACTTCCTGGACGGCGAGCCGAGAACCGACGACGACAACGAGCCACCCGGACCGGCTCCGGGCAGTCGGCCCTGCTCGCCCGGACACCCGCTCGGGCTGGGCGACCCGATGGTGGCCTCGCGACTCTCGAATCTCCGCGGTCACGGACACGTCGAGCTCGCCTCGTCGCGCCGTCTGCGACTGGAGAACGAGCGTCTGGTGGCCGAGGTCGCGCGGCTACGTAGACTCTTGCTGACTGGGGCGTCGCGCGGCGAAGTGGGCGCCGCCGACGAGTCGGTCATCGACGACGAGGCGCGCTACGTCGCCCTGGAGATGGAGCTGCAGCATGCCCGCGAGACCGTGCAGAGCCTCAAGGCCGACCGCAAGAGACTGCGAGCGGAAAAGTACGACCTGATCAATCAGACGAAAGCACTGTACGCCACGCTCGAGGACAAAGAACGAGAGCTTCGGGATTTTATAAGGAATTACGAGCAGGTTTGTTTTTCCTGCTTTTCTACTTTTTCTTTCTCTTTTTCCTTTTCCTTCTTTTTTTTTTTTTTTTTTTTAAGCTCGCCACAAACACGAAATTCGATTGCGAACAAACAAAAACACACGGTGTACTATTTTTGCGACGCTACTGCCACGCGCTCGTTGGCCCGAGCGCGCATCTGAAAAGCTCCTCCTGTCAAGTCCAACTAACTTCAACCACTTTACCCTCCTCCCCTTTTTCATTGTCAGGGATTTTCTCGACGATAAAGCGCAACGTCAATTTCCCGTCTTTTCGTCCTGCACCCGACGAGGACGACGACGAGAGCACCGCGCGCGCGCCTGCACCGGAGCATCTTCCTACCACTACTACTACTACTACTCCGGCCTTTTTTTCCTCTCTTCTTTTTTCCTCTCTCTCGTCGTTTTTTTTCTAATGTAACAGGAAGCTGCCAGTAATAAACCGGAACGAGAGTTTATTGGTTCGTCGACGTGTATATAGAGGAGAGCTCGCCGAACTTCATTTGCATCGTTAGTGAAGAAGCGTTTTTGTCTGTGCCTCACTCACTTTTGCGAAAGAGAAAGAGAGGAATATCATTAGGTGTGATTGATGCCCCTTATCGATGTGACTTTATGTTCGATAATACAACGAGGCTGCTTGTAAGTGAATTTTTCCACCTTTACAAATTTCTTTTGTGTCCAGGCGCGCACCGCGCCTCTCAGTGTGTATATAAATCCGCCCACGAGCATTTTTCTCGCTGCACGCGGAGCATGCACAGGTTTTATTCGGCCGCTGTAGTAGCTGCTAGTACCTACAAGGAAAAACATCGTCTTTTATACGAGCGCGTGAGCAGACTAAACGGATTAGAATTGGCCGTATAAGAGTGTGTATGTGTGGGTGCTACGTAACGTACGAGCGAGAATGTCTCGCTTTGTGCGGAGCGCAGCAGCAACCCATGTATGTATAGGCGCCGCATAAATCTCTCGGCTGCTTAAAGATTTTTCTTTCTATTTTTTCACGACGATCTATATTGCTTAATAGCAGCTCTTCTGATGATCCTTCTTCTATCTTATTTTTTTGCACACAAACATCTCTGTACATCAAAGAATTCCGTGACTGTTAAATTTCTGCATTTTCACGCGTACGCTCAACAACTTTCCTCCCCTTGTGTATACGCATTGTTCCTTTCATCTGTCAGCGATAATCAGCGACGAACACTGATGTATAGGTATATATTTGCTCTGCGATATAGTAGTACAATGTGGCGCGGCGTCTCCGCAGAGTCGGGTGAATGATTCAGCTTTGCGCGTCGACTAGAGACAAACTGCGTGTACTTCGTATAGCCCGAGTTGTCTACGTATGTGTGTGCAGCAGTAGTTATCTGTACGTATGTAGACAAGACATAAGTCAAGTCGCATCTCTCTCGTTGGGAAGTTTTGGCATAGCACCGGGGCATAGATGGATGGTATTGCGCGCAGTGCTTCTCGTATACAGAGTATATATCTATATCTACGGACGCGCGAGACTCGCAAATATAATTTTCAAATGTACACTGTAATACCAAAGGGTTTGCGCATACTTCGAATGCGTTTAAAAAAAGGACACGAAGTAAGAAAAGATCGATTGTATGTGTGTGTGTTCACAGCGACTGCGGGAGAGCGAGGCTAATCTCGGCCGCATGCAGCAACCCGGAGCCAATCCGGAGGAGCGGGAGCTGGAGCGCGAGCGGGAACGTTGGAGTCTGCTGCGAGCGGCTCGCGACGAAGCCGACCGCAGCATAACTCTGGCGGCGAGCCTGGCCGAGAAGGAGGCCGCACTGTCGCACGCACACGCGACCATCAAAGAGGTACGTTTGAAATCTATAGCACTATTAAAAAAAAAAAAAAAAAAAAAGAGAAAAGACGTATAGACTGACGTGTGGGGTTCTTTTAATTACAGTTACAACGGCAACTGAACGACCGAGGCGGCAGCATATGCCTCAGCGACCAGGAGTCGTTGGTGTCGTTCCCACGCGGGAGCGTCAACGGCGCCGCGACCCCGGGCGCGGGTAGCAGCGGCAGCGGAATACTCGTCTCGAGCGGCGGAGGAGCACCCGGCAACCACAACAACAACAACAACGCCTCGCTGCTGGCCCACAACCACGGCGGCTCGAGCGGTGACCTGGGCCCAACTTTGCTCGGCTCCGGTGTCGGTGGCGGTGGTTCTCTCCTCGCCGGCGGCGGCACCAACAGCTCCAGCGGCCTCGGCAGCACGACCAGTGGCGCTCTGGGCGGCTTCATGGCCGGCGATCGGGGCAGCTGTAGCGCCGACAGCGGCGTCCGTGGCAGCAGCGACCGCGAGAGCGGCGGGGCCACCAGCATAGGCGGCAATCTATCCGACTCCACGGCAGATGGTGAGTTATGATATAGATATAGCAACCGCTTTCTGACCTGTATAGTTGGTGACAACCTAGATATGGCGTATATGTATAAGATATATATATGCGGCTCGACCAAACCGACGACTCGGTAGACGACGACGACTCGGCGGGCAAGTTTTCTTGCCACAGAGAGAGAGAGAGAGAGAGAGAGAGAAATCGCAAGATATTCCATTATCGACTTTCCCGAACTTTGAATGTTCGCGATAGTTGCCCGCCGCGTCGTGTTCAGAAACTAATACGACTACTCATCACTGCTATATATCTATAATAATAATAATAATACGTCACTCGAGCCTTTTCATCGCAATCAGCAGTGGTGTTGACGATCTGCATGCTTCCTACCGCGTTCACCCACCACCACCCCTTTCGATTAATTCACTCTCATTTGCTCCGCATGCGTTTATGTACTTGTGTATACCCTCTAAGTGTTTAATAACTATCTCTCACGACTACTCAACGACACACGAACTCGACAGCAGCTTTTAACGTATATTACGGCGCCGAATTCATGCCATTACTCATATATCTATCTATCGATATCGTACACTGCACCATCACCATCACTACACCAGAACCAGAAAATCGAGCCACCAATCCTCCCTCGTCGTCGTCCTCGTCGTCGACGAGCAAGCCAAGGGTCGTTTCGTCCTCGCCGTCGATCACGCACTTCGGAGCCACTATAATCACCGAAATTGGTAAAGATCCGCATCAACAGCAGCAAAGCCAGACGGACACGGACAGTATGTCGTCGTCGGCCAATGCGTCGGTGCCCTCGGCGCTCATGTATCAGTGTAAGTTACGAGTATATAGCACGAAAGCGAGAAAAAAGATAAAGAAAAAAAGGACGATGTGGGTCATACCGATGACACATAACAAAAATAGACTCTTCGTTTACTTTCATTTTTAAATATGCCTACACTGCACGCTGCATGCTTCACAATCGCTAAACTGCATCTCTCGCCATACATATTAATAGAAAAAAAAGTCGTCGCTTCTAAACCTGATAACGAATCGATAAAATCAACTCGGCGAGAAAAGCTCGCGACGAGAGAAAACGAGTTTTATACCGCTGCTGACGCCTGCGTTTTTTTCTGTTTCTCTCTATCCAACAGCGACGACGCCGAAAGATTGCAGCCCGACTCTGTCGCCGCTCAACGCGTTCTCTCGCTCGATGGACAATTCCGTGCTGTCTCGCTCGGTCGAGCAGCTGCACAGCCCGTTGGACGGCAACGGCGACTTGCTGCACAAGAGGCTCATCGGCGGCAGCAAGATCTCGTCCTCCGGTCATCATGGTCATCATCAGCAGGAGCGACAAGCGCAGCAGCAGCAGCAACAATCGCCCGTCGGCGGAGTTCTGCAGTCGGTGCACTCGAGATCGTCGGCTCAGCGCGGCGGCGGCACCTGGGGATCGATATCGAGGTACGTTTCTCTATGCGACGAGACAGTGAGAAATTCCAGACACTTGTTCGAGTATCGATATTTGAACGTATTGTCATCTGCTGTTGTAGGGTGTTCGCGCGCTCCCGACACCGGAAAACGACGAGCGGCGTACTGGGCGAGTCGGCGACAGACGCCTTCGATCCGTATCGCTCGTGGTCGCCGCTCACCGAGGAGGGTTACGCGGAAAAGCTGCGACTGCTGCGCGAGGCCGCCTCCATACCCATGGAACGCTGGCGAGCGCCCACTGTGCTGGCCTGGCTCGAGGTCGCCCTAGGAATGCCGCAGTACGGGCCACGCTGTGCGGAAAACGTCAAGTCCGGAAAGGTACGTGTGGATAACATTGAAGCTACGAGTTGTGCTCCCGCAGGCGTACATAATGGAGTAGAATGGAACAATACAACGTGTATCGATGCTTGTGTCAAAAAGGTACTGCTCGAGTTGAGCGACGCCGAGTTGGAGGCAGGCCTGGGCGTGACGCATCCGCTACATCGTAAAAAGCTGCGTCTGGCCATCGAGGAGCATCGACATCCGAATCTCGTGCGCTACCCCTGCATCGGCCAGCTCGGCCACACCTGGGTCAGCTCGGAGTGGCTGCCCGACCTCGGCCTGGCGCAGTACGCCGAGAGTTTCGCCACCAACATGGTCGACGCCCGCATGCTCGATCATCTGAGCAAAAAGGAGCTGGAAAAGCTGCTCGGCGTCACGAGAAAGTTCCATCAGGCCAGTATAGTGCACGGCATCAATTTGCTCAGAATGTTGAATTACGACAGGCAGGCGCTGGCGGTGAGACGACACAATTGCGAGACCGTCGACGCGGATCCTCTGGTCTGGACCAATCAGCGATTCATCAGGTGGGCAAGGGCCATCGATCTGGCCGAGTACGCTGACAATCTCAAGGGTAAGTGTGTTTGCGTGATTTTTTGCGGTTTTTTCTTATACGCGTCGCATGTTGCGAATAAAACTGACCCACTCTCGTGAACAGATTCGGGTGTGCACGGAGCCTTGGTGGTGCTGGAGCCCTCCTTCACCGGCGACACGATGGCCACCGCTCTGGGCATCCCGGCGGCCAAGCAGATGATACGCCGACACCTGACGGCCGAGCTCGAGGCACTGGTCCTGCCAGCAAGGTACTCGATCTACAGGAATCCCGATGCCATACTCGACAATCCCGCGCACTGAATCTCTTGTTGTTTGCTCGATATGGCCGATATGACGATGATCCTTAACGTTGATCCGTTGACTATTACTCATGATAATCAAACCTTATTATGCGGAAGCAAATACGCACGATAGTTGATGCGTTGCGTAAGAACGTAACGAGAGATATAGCTTAGGGCTTGTTTCTGCAATTTGTCGAGAAAATTAATTACGCATAAACTGTAGTTATCGCGTGTAGTTATCATTCATATTAAAAAATTGTAGAAACGACCCTAAGCATCGATCGGTCTGGCCAAGTTCTCGTTATCATCGCTTTTCATTGTACATACGAAAGATAAAATAAGGCGATAACAGGTCATCATAAACTATATTTATTTCTAACTAAAATTTAATTACGCTCCATCGATCATCGCTTCATGTAATAATGAGAAAGTATGTCATAACACCAGTAATGCACACACGTAGGTACGATACAACTCATATAATATTAATTATTCATAAAAAATATATGATGAAATGTGTAAATACGATAATAATCGCATGAAGATATATTAAAAAAACCGGGCCAAATGATTTAATGGAAGATGGAGAGCGCGCATCGCAGCAGCAAGAAAGGATGCGCAGAGAAAGAGTTGATTCATTAACGAGCACTGAGAATTCGGTTTTTCTGTTTTATCGAAAAACGCATAGTCCTCCAAACATCACCATTAAATTGCATTTACGGGGAAAGATACGAACTTTCCAGGCATTGACAATTCCAGCCAGAATGTGTGTTTGTTTGTGTGTGTGTGTGTCGATTTGCGACTGAGTATATGTACATATAGATATATTTTCTACCACTTCTCTCTTTGCAGCTCGATATATTTTCTAAATGACTGCTTTTATCGTGTGTGACCTTCAATAAAAGGGAGTAAAAGACACTTTTCCATGTCCTATTTATTTTAGGACCATTACGAGATAGAGAGAGAAAAAGAGAATGATTGAGTAACGAAGCCACCCCCGCCGTCTGACCAAAAACAGAGCGCTACTACTTGCCTGCGCTCTTGGAAATTGCCAATGCTATAGAAAAAAATCGAATAAAAAACACACGCGCTCGCTCGCGTATTAATAGTTCTCTTTGCATTGTGAATGGTATAGAAAAAGTTTCCCATTGAATTACGCTGGAAAATGCAGTGCCGCGATGCAAGCCGAAAAATATAGAGAAGGAGCAAATTACAATTTTCCTTCTGCTACGCTCGGGATTTCTCTTTGTTACAATTTCTTCTTCTTTTTTTTTTATATTCTGTATTATATATGTGTCTAGAATGCAGCAGTTGCCGCTTCTATTGCCTGCCGTATTGCACTTACAGCTAAAATTACTTTGTCGAGCACGAATATACATCCATCCACTTTTTTTTTATTTACTTTTTTTACATACGTTGTCAAGTGTACTTTTTTTTTCCTCTTTTATCTGTATCAAGTGACCCTGATTATTGCAATCCCGTGAAACTATTGCTCGTTTGTAAAACTTCATTCTGAAATTCCATTTGATTCCCTCGCGCTGTCGTGCATACAGTACGACGTAATTTTTTCTCTCCTGCTCTTGGGAATGAATCGCATATTCATGGCATAACCGATCTACCTCTAGGATTTCTTTGATCTCCCTTACTTCTTAATAATTTTTTTATTTATTTTCCTTCCGTAGATACATTTGAATATATGTGTATACATGTATTTCTTACCTAACAATCTTTTTGATGTTTCCTCTGCTCTATATATAAGTATAAATATAAATATTACATGCAATATCACATCTCTAATGTTACCACTACTCTGCCGCTCTACCTTTTTTTTCGTCTGATAAAAAGACCGTACAAATGCATAAAAACGAGTAAAAAAAAGAGAGAAAGGGAAAAAGAGAGAGAAAAGCGTTCAAAGCTTGCACCCAGCAGCGTGCCCGAGGTAAATGAAGATAAAAAAGGGAGAGAGGAAAGGAAGTTGTAGCTAGCTTTTATTTTTATGCATAAGCAGTGCATGTAGCGTTGCTCGCGCGCGCACGGACTATCAAGAAAAAGAAAAAACGCTTTTATTAGAGCCTTTTACTCTTTTTTTTCCTCTCTCTCTCTCTCTTCTTCCCCGGTGGTAAAAATATTTCACTCATTAATTCACATCCTTTTTTCTCACTCTCTCTCTACCTTTTTTTTTTCAAGCGTCTTCGTTATACATTGTCGGCGTAATGTGCTTGCCATCTTTCTACATTTTCATATGTATACGGACATATATTTCACATCAAATTACAATATATCGTTACAACTTGTTTACTCGATTACGGAATTGAACATTTATGAAGCAGTGCAACAACCACGCGAATCGGCCGGCATAGTCTACTATACACGAATTACATGTTTAATATATTGACACGAACGCATACACGAGAGTCAATTATTACCCGTTATATTTTTGTATACAGTGCAAATCGATCGGTCGTCTATACAATATGCATTAAATACACCAATTCGTTTGGCTAGCATGGAGCGATTGGCTGTTTCACATGGCATTGATGCTGTTCAGCTTTTTATTACATTTTATTATCATTATTATGTACGTGTGTGTGTCTCGTGGTGCTCTACATACACGCTTGATCTTTATTTTTATCTGACAAGTATAACCATCATCATCAATACATTTAAAACAACAAAAAAACCGAGCAAGAGATCATGTGCCATGTTTATGTTCATTATCATTAATTTTTTTTTATTATCATTCATCAAACAACATAAACAGAAAAAAAGATAAACATATATACTATTATTATGCATGTGTCAATATTTTTTGATCTCAATGTGTGTGAATGCGCTGAAATTTTTGGCAAATAAAAAGGGCGAATCTGGAGGTGGTACCGCGCAACGGTGGACCCGCGAGGCCGATGAGCAGCCTCGGCAGCCTGGGGCGCGGAAATCGGAGCAGCCTGCACATACAATCGCCGGTGAATCATTACAATAGCCACGGATTGATCAGTCAGCAGTCGGTGCCCATTATCAACGCCACCAGTACCATCGATCGACGTCGCTCTAGTCTCAGGGTAATGTTGCATGCTGTACCATATTATACATTATACTACATCTTCTGTGTCTTTTTTTATACTTATCGCTGACTGTAATCGCTTTTCTTTGTCATGCTCTATGTGTGTAGTGCGGGTGTGGTAGTTTGATGTTTTTGCTGCGCTTGCTCATATCTCTGTAGATCATTTTTTCCTTCTTTTTTCGTATAGGTCTACATAATTATCAGTCACTTTTTGACTTTTGTTATTATTTTCACGGTGGGTACGGTCGACGCTCGAATGAGAGACGCATTTAATTTACCAATATCATACCGGATTTTACGCTCTCATATTCGCCTCGTAAATCTCGCCTCTAGAAATCGTCAACATAATACAAGCCGTTAATTTGCTCCCCCCGTTTTGATATTTAAATACAGAGACTCACGCGCGCGGAGATAATGTGAAACTTGAGCGTACACCCAACACGCTCGGTAGAGATAATTTCTACCTTCGACTTCTGCTACTACTGTGCTATTTCGAAAGATGAAATCATGCACGAGAGAGTACACGGCACGCACGCATACGAATCGAATATTATGTCGTTATTTTTTTTTTTTTTTTAGAATAAACTTGGACGACGCGTCACATCCATCTTTTGCATGTAATATAACGAAATTATGTGTCACATTGTAGAACTTGGCATCGTCATTTTATTCTACATTTATAAGCGTGTAAAAAAATAACATGTACTCACATATTCTCGCTGATGGGGGAGGGGGATGATGCGGCACGTCGAAGCATGATATAGTGGGCGAGTGCTTACGCGAGCAGTAGAGCGTGAATTCGCTTACGCAGCCACCGACTGCCACATATAGTAGCTCAATATACATACAACATTACGTAATTTATCGATCATAAAATACGAATTTCTCTGTCTTTTTCTTTTTTTCTCCTCTTTTTTCATTTTTATTTATTTTGCTTTTCGAATAATTTATGACGATCGCTGCGTGACGATCTCTCTCTCATGCATCGCATCGCTCGCGCGCGTCTACCTCCGGAAATATATTACGCAGAGAGAGCCGCGCGCACGTTTCAATTTCCAGCGAATTCGCGGATTAATGTCGTTGCACCCGCGGTAGTTGCAGTCGTAACGAATAACGATTTCATACGATAAAACACAAAGTCAATTATAACGATCGTCCCCTCTTATGCATGTTGTTGTCGATGGCGAAAGTAAAAGAAAATTTCTTCATTTGTAATAAGAACATGTGGACTGATTCTGAAGAAAAAAAGAATTAATAAAATCATGTTACATCATCGTAGTAATAATTAATCATATCAGCGTTTTGATACATCCATCATGATGAATATTTACTATATTCTATTTCACTTGGTCATATCACTTTGTACAACTGCTGAGTATGTCTATGCACATAAATATAAATATGACATCCCCCCATATGTTTCCTCGTCTGTAATATACAAATATTGCCATTGAACATTATTATACATATGGACGCATCATTTTCCATCAACGACTGTGTATAAATAAAGAGCAAATTTGATGCTTACAAAAATAAATACTGGGGCAATCTAGGATGTATATTTACTAAAGTTTTGTAATTATTGTATACATCGTCTATGATGATAATATTGATGATTAAAAAATGCGGAAAGGAAATGAAATAGTAAAAAAAAAACAGAGAAATAACGGAGACAGTGTCTCGAGATTTATAATCAAATATACACGAAAATAATATATCAGATGATAAGACAGTGACGATAATAAATCAATTACTTTTATGCTATACAGTTTTTCTGCCATTTATAAACATAACGCAGTTTATAAAAGACTGAACGAGTGTGAATATAAGCTTTCAAAGTCTCGTGTATATGGTTACGTTCTTTTGTAAATTTGAATATTTTTTTTTCTACTACGTAATATCCAATATACTGACCGAGCTATAAGTATAATAAATGTAACTGCTAGCGTATGCTATACTAACAATGATCCAAATTCTTAACAAGATACCGTTGAAGGATTGAAATGTTGGACATTTCGAACGATAACGAGCTGATCCAAAGTAATCTATAAAACAAAATCAACAACTGGTGTTAAAATAAATGCTTGAGATATATCACAATAATGACAAATTTCAAAAGAAATCGATATTATAGAAATAAATAAGAAATATATATGCTAAAGAGAAATAATGTAAATACATGATAATGAGATTTCAATGTGACAGATATGCCCAGGGTTTTCATTCATCTTCCTTGATAAATGATCCATTTTTTAATGTTTTATTTTTATTCAAATATTTTTTTCTCCCTAAAAAAGTCATTTGTTATTTTTTTAACGAGAAAATGTGTTTCATTTATCAAATCACGAACCTTTCATGCAACATACTTTCGTTCGTTCGTTCTTTATTTTGTACTAATCACTCGTAAAAATTCACAGGTGTAAGTTTCAATTCTTCTTATTATGATTAATAATTTATAATACATGTAGCTGTTTTCTTGTAGCGTTAACAAAATTGACTTGTTTTAGATTTAGTTCGTTAGTTTATTTGACATAATTTTAGATGTGATGCATAGAAGATATATATTCAGTGACAAGCTGTTAATTTTGATTAATTTTTTGGTTAATTAATATTTGATTTTCGGTTGAGTTTTATTATTTATTACTTGTGCGGAAAATCACTTTTGAAAGTTGTTGATGAAAAATTGTCGTAAGCAGTCGTATCTTTCAATGGTGACTTTTCCTCAAATCGCTTCACAAAATACTAACTGATTTTAATGAAAATTGTATAATAGGGCTCGTTAAGTCGAGCGCTAGGTCTACGTCCGAGGAGCGACAAGGCGTCGCCCTCTTCGTCCTCGGAGACGGGCAGCTTGACGAGCCAGGGCCACATCTACGCCAGCTGCAATTCACCGCCACCGCCGCAACTTCCCCCTCGGCCAGCCACGATATCGGGCAGCTCCAGGCGTCATCGGCGCGTCAAGAGCATCGGCGACATCGATTACCTGTGCGGCGGCGGCAGTCAGATGCTGCCGAGCGCCGTCAGCACGGCCGTCTGACAGGAGGCAGCGAGGCCCCTGCAGCAGCAGCAGCAGTCGTCCTGCACTGCGGGGGCTCCGCGCAGTCTCAGCGAGCGGGGATACTCGTCCTCGGCGTCGTCCCAGGCGTCCTACTACTCCTACAACGACTACTATCATCGTTATCAGTCGCCGATCAATAATTATCCACCGAGCAGCAGCGGCTACTATTCGCCGCAGAGCGTCGACAGGTCGTTTCCCGGGGTGCAGAGGTACGGCAGCTTGGCCGAGGAAACTTGGCCCGCGGCTAGCAAGAGCAAAGTCGACAGGGTCATATGATAGAGAGATCGTCGATGAGCAGCGAGCTGTATTTTAGTTACCGACAGAATCGACTAAACGGTGGAACTTCATTTTTGCCTTTTAGCACTTATGATATTATTGGTGATAAATTTAGGCTTGTATTGTAATGCAAATAAATATACACGTTTTTTCGAATCCAATATGCTGACACAAAAGTACGACTGTGATCGCACGAGACTTTTGATGTAAGAAACATTTTAAAATTCAAACAAAAAACGCAATTTTTGTGTTATATGTACAGAGGCTGTTTATTTAGTGATCTAAAAATGTACCAATTTACGATCATGAATCTTCTGATGTAGACTGATAAATTCATATTGGTCATTCGATGTGATTAAGCTGTTTAGTTTTGTAGCTTTAAAGATACGTTTAACAAAGTTGAACAAATGACTGTACATACATAATGATATATGTATCGAAACGTAAAGATTAATTTAGGTTTATTTTGAAAAGTTAAACTATGTGTTGTGAATCGACGTTATTTGTATTTTGGTGTAAAATTATTTGTAACCAAATGTGTATCTTTAAATTATGTTAAGCTCCAGGCGTACGTAAGCACCAGTCCCGCATGGTCCATGGGAAAACTTTTACAATCGAAAGTGTTACCAAAAACTTTCTTCTATATATGTCGGTCGCCTGGAGATTAATTATATTATATGTACGAAAGTGCAAAAATTAACTGGTCAAAATTATTTACTGATTTTTAAATCAGGTTAATGCAATTTTATCTTATTGAAAAAGTAAATTCAATAGCAAAGATTGTAGAATTTAAGATTAATCCTTGTGCACAATACTTATGCTGCCTGCCAATCAATTGTAAAATTTAATGAAGTAATGCTCAAAAAAAGTAATGTCAAATTTACCAGGAATTGAAATATATTCCAAAATGCTTCCAATAAATATCCAAGCACATTTGAAAATTCCGATTTTGAAGTATTTACCTTGCTTAACATAATTTGATAAAGTATACATAAATAATAATTGCATTATAGTCTTAAAACCAAATGTGTTAAAGATGATTTAATTAAATTTACAGACCAAAAAAATATTCGAGTAAAATTCGTAAATAAATACTTGAAATATAAAAATCAATTTCATGAATTTCATTAAAGGCATTTTTTACAAATTATTTGTTTCTTTTATTGAATTTAAATTTCTCGAAATTGCGTGAAAAATGTATTGGAAATAAAGCCCATTAAAAAAAATATTCGCCTGCAAAAAGCTAACGATAAATACGTATTATTTGTGTAAATACATACTAAATTTGTTTATTAAAAATAACCGGATATTTTGTGACTGTGTTAATGTTAAAAGACTTTATGTATATACTGTAATGAAATATTTATTAACCCTACCCAGCCCGAATTATGAGAAATAAATTTAATGCCTTAAAATTGTCAAGTTAATTTATTAAACTTCATCATCACGACACGTGTCATTTCCGAGCCAAAAGAATTCAATTTCCCATTTGTTGACATTCGTAGTTTATACGTTATAAAAACTCGATCGTTCCGAGCCTAGAAAATAATTGGGACGTCCTTGAAAATAATAAAAAATATTTATTTATGAAGAGAATTTGAATTAGTCCGCGCGATAATGCATTTACTTCGCCGCGATAAGTGGTCAAAACGTTTATCTGACCGACCGATTCCCTCTCCACGGTAGATAAATTATCCATCTTGCACAGATGTTTTAAGCCTATGTCGAAATGTCAAATAAGTAAAAAAAGTAATCTCAAAGTTCATAAGCATTAACATGGCATATCGGTCTCTTATTATGACCTAATAAAAACGCCGATTCTTATATAATCCTTTTGAAAGTAGGCGAAGCATACAAAAGACAATTCATAATCACTGTAGGCAGCATACATAAATATCCTTTTTTCATATGTAAAAGATTAGCAGGAGCAATGTGTGCAACCTCCACATTAGATGACGACCGTTACATAAATTAGAAAGAGTAAATTTTCTGGCTGTCAACATATCAAAAAACCGCTGCCAATTCATTGGCAAAGTGCTTCCTCATAAAAAATTATATTAATGAAAGGGTTTGGTTATTAAAGGGAAAATTCGTATTTCATTTTTGAATTTCAAATTCCGTTTTCTTTAATGCATACGAAAATCCTAAAAAACCTAAAGATTTTTAGAATTTCGTGTAAGATCACCTACACTTTTATCTTAGCCAAAAAGCCGAGAAAACAAACACACACACACATACATACATACGGACATTTGTTGAGAATTTAATCGAGTTTACAAATATGTAAACCAAATTTTCCTACGAAGTCTAGTTCAAAATCTCGTTTGAGAGAGAGACAGAGCTTCCTCTATGAGGAAGCAATAATATGAAGTAGTCGAGTATAATACTTGTACTACGCCGCAAAGTAAACCGAAGAAGATCGTATCGACTGCCGCCAGTGATTCTTACGAAGAGAAGTAAAAATTATTTGGTTTTACAAGCGAAAAGCAATTTTCTGTGGGAGCCCAAAAACCCCTGTCCGTCTTAATAGATCACGTCGGTAATTTCCAAGCCCGTTTAAAAAAAAAATTGAATGAATTACGAGAGACGGTCAAGAACAACAATAATTGTAACATTGAGAATACGATACTCCCACTTCTCCTTCATCTGTATTCCATCAGCAAGCGGACGAAAAATCTTCCAAATCTTTTAGAAACTTTTTGACCCGAAGAAATTGACTGTATTCTCTCGGATTGTTGTAAAAAGCTGCGAGTTGACGAAGTACAACCATTCGTCAATTTCGTGTTTCGCACCGGCTACAAGGACGAGCCCGACTTGGATGATTCAGACTCGCTGTTCACGCATCAGACCACAGCGCTGCACCGTGCGACCAGCAGCTAGCGCTCGAACCTGAAACCGACCGTTCTCGAGCTTTTCAAGATATACGACAGGTTCGACGTGAATTACACCGACGAGATGGGATGCTCGCATCTGCACGTGGCCTGCATATACGACTGCCGAGACATCGTCGAGAAATTTCTCGAGCACGGCGCGGATCCCAATTGCATCTGGCCGCTAATGGGTGATTCGCCGTTACACTTGGCTGCCACGTACGCGAGCGTAGGATTGGTCGAGTTGCTGCTGAGAAGTGGGGCCGATCTGACTTTATGCAACAAGAACACCTCTGCACATGATTGTGCAACGTGTTAATTTCGCGAGTATTTTTGAGGTTCTCGACGAGCTGAATCTGCTGACACGGATCAACGTCCAGGACAAGTTGGGTAAAACGCCATTGCACTTGGCCTTCCAGCATTATGGCTCTTACTGTGACAAGAACTCGGGAGAAGGACTGCTACGACGAGGTGCCAACCCGAATTTGGCTGACGAGGACGGATTGACTCCTCTGCACATATTTAGCAAAAACTGCTACACCGATGACTTGATTAAGATTCTATTCAATATCAGCGACGAGCAACATCAGTCGGTGCTAATTGAAGCGCTCTTGGCTCTGTTCCACCAGCACATGGAGGTGGCAAAATTTCTGCTGAGAAGAGGCGCAGATCCAACTGCAACGAATCTAAAGGGATTGACACCTTTGCATGTTATTTGCAAAACAGACGATGACGACGGATCGGTGAAGGAATTTCTCGAGATCTGCGACCAAGTCCAAAAGACGGTGCAGATCGACGCTCAAGACAATTTGGGTCGGACACCTTTACAGTGGGCTGTGGTGACTTTTTTGCCGGATGCAGTCAAAGCACTCTTGTATCATGGTGCTCGCTTCGTTTTCCCCACTGAAAGTCAGTACGATAAGCGCTTATTTAGAGTGAGTGATGAATCTCATCATAAATTGAAAGTAACGTCTCGCGCTATGGTAATGGTCGAACTTCTTGAGAGCAAGAATTACAAATTGGACCAAGGATACGCCCTAATGATCGCGAAATTGTTCGCGAAGTACAGATTGTTCATAGAGTCGCCGGGTCTTGAAAGGTCTTTGCGCTATGGCGAAAAGTTCGTGAAGCGGTCGAAGAAGATATTGTTGAGAAAAAATCCGAAACTGTATCTGTACGACCTGCTCCAGTTAAGACCCGAAGAGGCGGCGAAACAACTCACGTACAGGGACTGTGTCAAGTTCTCAGAGTCGCTCAAGCAATGGGTGACTCTGCCCATAACTCATCAACAGTCTTGTGCTGTGCACCTGGGCGAGATAATATCGAGAAGATTTTTCCAGAGAGAGGCCCTGGAACCGTTCATGGTATTGATTCGCTGCCGATTGCCGATTCACTGCTGCGAAATGATCATCGATCAACTGATGAACAAAGATTTATATCATATTATTTGCTTGGTAGCCAGTGATCAAAATACTGAATCAAACGATGCTTCAGTAAACAAAGAATCAACCGTTACTTCAGAAAGGAATGAATCAACCGCTACTTCAGAGAGCAATGAATGAAACGATGCTTCAGTAAACAACGAATCAAACGATGCTTCAGAAAGCAATGAATCAATTGATTCTTCAGAAAGCAATGAATCGACCGATACTTCAGAAAGCAATGAATCAACCGATACTTCAGAAAGCAATGAATCAAACGATGCATAAAAACTGCCATCAACTCGCGTAAGTGAACATACACAAAGTCAAACAAAGAATAAAATCGTAATCGAATAATCACCGTCGCGGGACAGTCAACCAAATGCGATTTATCTATTGTATTGTATATTTTTACCCGTTCTTTCGATTTTTGTACATTTGAACGAATGTTAAAAAAACAATAATTTTATTGTGATGTTTCTTGATACTTGTTAGATAAAGAAGTCTTAAAAATGTCTGTCTTCAATAGTCGAGATGAGATCAATGTGTATCAATGAAAATTTCGGGTTTTCAAGATAATCAAATTTTATTTTTTTTCATTGTAATATATTTTATCTTAGCGTATCAAAAGATTGGGGTTTAGCAAAGCTCATGCGATCTCTCACCTGATTTGAGTAAGGGCTGGGCTTCTGAGCTGGAAAATCTCATCTGAAATCGAAAAGAGAAAGTTGTTTAGTCAGGCCTGAGCAGCTGGCAATTCTGTACTTCTGTAAAGTATAGGAAATATTTAAACATCTACTCGATTAAAAACAAGTACAAAATCGATTCTCTCAGTTAGCTCGCTAACGAAACAGCTTATTTGTTAAAAAGTAAGTGAGAAGGAGACCTGTGAAATTTTATCTTAGCGTATCAAAAGATTTGGGTTTAGTAAAGCTTATGCGATCTCTCAACAGATTGAAATATATGGTAGGCCTCTGATCTTACGAATGACTTCTTCTGAGAATACGAAGACGTTCGACTAATGACTTTTAATGTCCACTAATTACTCCACGCTTGCAAAAGTATTTTAAATTCGGGACCAGCTTGGAGTATCTCAACATTTAGTTTTGAATCGGCAAATCACTATATACTAAAATATATAAAATGTGCAAAAAATTTTCCAGAACAAGTAATGCGTTTCATTAAAATGAGCCATAACGTTTCCGTACTAGAAAATCACATATGTAATACAGCAGAGGATGAAGTAATGAGATATTGTAACGATATTTCAAAGTCCAAATCACAACATGTAATAGTATTCAATAACATTCTTTACTTCAATCGACTAAAAAATGAAAAACTTGTTGTTAATTTCCGTGATATCGAGCAATGTTGTGTAGCAAATTTTATAAGAGACATGAAAAACGGCAAAAATTTTTTGAAAATTGTTAAAGATAATTGTCTCTATGAATCAGTCCTGATGCGTGAAAACCGTTCCAATAATTCATTTGCTTTGTTAGATAACGAGTTGTATGTTCGCATAATTGCTTTTGAAATACGTCACGATTCGCATGAAATTTCTTATGTTAACTATTTAAAAGTTGATAATCTTTACAATAATTATATAGTATATTTTGTAACAAGTGCGCGAAGCAGTTGACTCACCCAGGAGTTGTTTTCACCCGAGCGTAGCGAGGGTGCAAAGACTCCTGGGTGAGTTAACTTCCTCGCGGACTAGTTGCAAACGATATTTTTTAACTCTGCTTGCGAGAAACTAGGGTTTTCTGACGCTTTAAGGTTAGAAAGCCCGTGTTTCGCGCACGCAGTGTTAAACGCAGTGTTAAAAAATATTTTATGAAGATAACAAAAATTGAACAGAAAATAGAGACCATACCAACTTCATGTATTGAAAGGGTTTGTGTAAATATAAATGTAAACGGTAATTACTTGGTTTCTGTACCGAACTTGATGCACTACTGATAGTATAAGGCGATCCAAAATTTTGTACATTATTGAATAAAATTATACTAATAAAAAACTCTTAAAATATTTAAAAATTCATTGCAAACCTTCGTATCTTTTAATTAAATGAATGATGACATTTAACTTTTGTACAATCCATTAATATGTTCATTGACTTATTCAGAGCTTTTGTATATCAATCGTGATGAAAGAATGAATTTTTTAACACTGCGTGCGCGAAACACGGGTTTTCTAACCTTAAAGCGTCAGAAAACCCTAGTTTCTCGAAAGCAGAGTTAAAAAATATCGTTTGCAACTAGTCCACGAGGAAGTTGACTCATCCAGGAGTCTTTGCACCCTCGCTACGCTCGGGTGAAAACAACTCCTGGATGAGTCAACTGCTTCGCGCACTTGTTACAAAATATACTATAAGGGGACATTCCTATTGAAAATGAAAAAAAAGTCAATACATTTTTTTTACGTTAAAACGTTCTTTAACATTATGAAAATATCCTGTTGACATTTTCGAACGAAATTCATAAAGGAAAAAAAGTTATGCCCGATTACACGAATCGTCTAGCATGCTCGATATGTACAGAACAAAACTTCTGACGCGTTTTTCTCATAACTACTTTTTTTCAGCTCTTGACAGCGATTGCGAAAGAACAACTAGTCCGATCTTTACGTTTAAAGTCTCGTTTTAATCGTTACAACACTCTTTAGAAGACAAACCTCTAAAAAGTTGAAAAAATCATCCCCAATTCTTTTTGTAGGGATGAATTCACCTCCATAACCACCGAAAAGAGCATTTTTTTAAGAAAAACTCGCGCCAAAATCATAAAGATTGAGAATTTCAATTTTTCAGAGGTTTGTCTTCTAGAGAAAGTTGTGACGATTAAAACGAAACGTTAAACGTAAAGATCGCACCAGTAATTTTTTCTCAATCGCTGCCAAGAGCCAAAACACGGACTTCAGCAAATTCCGCCTACAGCCAACAAAATGGGTCTTAAGTCCCGTAAAAAAAATTTTTTTGTAGTTTAATATGTAAGAAACAATACCCAAAAGGTCCGGAATGAATAAAAATTATAGTTTTCAGAAAAAAAAAATTTAAAAAGTGATTTTTTTTACAATTTGCAATGGGAATGTCCCCTTAACCCATTAACGACCAAACTGCTTGATTTTTTTGTTGGTTTTCGCAGCGATTTTTTTTGTAGTTTGAGGCCTCCAAAAAGTTTCTTATGGACCTATTTCGATGTAAAATTTAATACCCTCTCAGAAACTGAGCTCAAAATTTCGATTCTTTGCGTAATAAAAAAGTTATGGCTACTTATACGAAAAAAAACGTAAAATTTTTTGCAAAAAATCAAGTTTTTGATTTTTTTTCACAATGTTACCGTTAGGGAATCACGATATAAATATGATCAGGGGTGATCACGACTACCAAAGTATCTTAGGGAATTTTTATGGAATTTTCGAACCACTACTTCAAACAAAAAATAACTTATATTCATATAAAACATAACTCATTTTTACTCGAAAACTACTGAATTTAGAGAAAAAGTGCAAAAAACCAAAGTTTGAAAAGGAGTTCAAAAATTCCATAAAAATTCCCTAAGATATTTTGGTAGTCGTGATCACCCCTGATCATATTTATATCGTGATTCCCTAACGGTAACATGGTGAAAAAAAATCAAAAACTTGATTTTTGGCAAAAAATTTTACGTTTTTTTTCGTATAAGTAGCCATAACTTTTTTATTACGCAAAGAATCGAAATTTCAAGCTCAGTTTCTGAAAGAACATTAAATTTTACATCTAAACAGGTCCATACGAAACTTTTTGGAGGCCTCAAACTACAAAAAAAATCGCTGCGAAAACCAACAAAAAAATCGAGCATTTTGGTCGTTAATGGGTTAAGAGGTTTAGTAGTACTTGCCGAACGAGATATGAAAAAATTAACATTTTATAAAAAATTTTCAGTGAGAGTTGAAAACAACTTTTCGACGATGATGATAACGCAAAGTAGAATCTATTATCAAAAAGAAATGAAAATTACATAATAAATTTTGAAAAAAATATACTTTGAGAAATTAAAAAAAACAACAATATTATAGTCATGAAATAATGCGAATTGCAAACAATTTTTAATCATGCCTAAAGTTATATTTCTATATTTCGTATCTTTCGAAATTGGACCAACATCTTAATTCATTTCGGAATTAATTTCGGAATTGAGATCTTACTTCCAAAACTAATTCCTTTCTTAATTCCGATTTCTAAGCAGGGCATCCCAAAAAAAATTGGGAATAAGTATAAATAAATGTTAGATTCAAATATTGTGGAATTAGATAACACGATTAGTATATTACTGCCCTAGGCCGCGAAAAACAGAAAAGTCCCAGGGCACGTGTAATTAGTGGCCGAGGCGAAGCCGAGGCCGATAAACACGTGCTCTGGGGCTTTCTTTTTTCGCGGCTTAGGCCTGTATACTATTTTTCATACCCCGTGGCCCGAAAATAGCTCTTCCCGTTTTGCGCAGCGGCCGGGAAGTAGTCACTTTCGGGCCGCTGGTATGAAAATATTATATCTATGTTTGTTCTACGTTCGACTTGTTCATTTGTTATTTTTGTTATCGTGCTAATATAACATAATACATAGTGTTATCTACTTCCACAATGTTTGTATCCAACGTTTATTTATACTTATTCCCAATTTTTTTTTCGGGATGATTTGTCGTCCGGATGAATTGTCTTAATACTTAATATTGAAATAAACTGCTCGAAGTGAGCTTAAATCACACATAATATAATGTTGATACTCACACACACATACACACTCTGGTATATAATCTGCTCGGGAGTGAGCTGAGATCACACTATATCACATATAGTCACTCACAAATGCCGAAACCGATACTGGTGGGAAAATATTTACGAGAAAAGATAATCTCAAAGTCCACATCGATACGCTGCATAATAGTGTCAGACATACATGTACTATTTGTGCCAAGATATTTACACAGAAGGGTCATCTCAAAATCCACATAGATAATCATTAGTTACGAATAAAAGCGCAATAAACATTGTGCATTATATTTGAGGCACAAGTGCGGACATTGAAGCACATTATTAACTATAAAGTTAACAAAATTAAAACTATTTACGCTAATTAGCTCATAAACTTTTTCAAAAACGGACATTCAACTCATGCCTGAAATAACGATTCCTTACCTTCCAGTGCAAAGTGCGTAAAGTTTACAGTATTAATTTCATGAAAAATGTATCGTTCATAAAGCCCATTATATAAATTTGCATGCAAAAAGCAAAAAACAAATAGCTAAATTTATTTATTAAAAATAACTGGAAATTTTGTGACTGTGTTAATGTTAAAAGACTTTAATGAAATATTTATTAACACTACCCAAATACAAATAATGCAAAATAAATCTAATGCCTAAAAATTTTCAAGTCAATTTATTAAATTTCATCGTGTCACGGTCACGTGTGCAAAAAACATTCATCATATCGTTTCCAAGCCAAAAGAATTTAATTTTCCAGTTGATGCAGTGGTGAAATAAGCGAGCCATCCGGCGCCTCCGTTATTGACGCTCGTAGTGTACGTTACAAAAACTCGATCGCTCCGAGCCTCGAAAACAGCGGGGACGTCCTTGAAAATAACAGAAAATATTTAATTATAAAGAGAATTCGAATTAACCCACGCAATAATACACTTACTTCGCCGCAATAAGTGATCAACACGTTTTTCTGTCCGTCCGATTGCATCTCCGCGATGGACAAGTTGTCCGTCTCGCACAGACGTTTCGAGCCTATGTCGAAGACGTCGAAGCGAATCGTCACTCTCATGCCTCGCGGTACGCTTATTTCCCAAGTACAAACGCTCTTCTGACGATACGGATGGGGATACATCGGTGAACTGAAGACACCACCGTAATTGTATATCCTGCCTCCGCAGCCTCTTCCTGCATGCAACACAAAAACACAAATTAGGATCGATTTTTCGAATCGAAACGTTAGTAAAGTGTTGAATTATACCATCTTTGGTCGATGTGTAGGTAAGGTCGAGTTCAGAGAAGCCTCGGAACAGAGTGTTGAAAGCACGAATGCTGATGCTGTTGCTTGTACTAAAGATCGGATCCGGATCCGATTTGCTGCAGATGGTTTCGAGGATGCTGCCGTTGAAGCCTCCCTCTCGAATCTGACAAAGTCATCAAGTTTTCAAAAATATTTTTCAGACTAATCAAAGACTTTTGAATCAACATATTACCTCCACGGCGCACTTGGAGCAGTTCTTCGTCGACGGTAGCAATAAGTGATGGAAATAAATGTTGATGGTGTAGTTGTCCGGCACTCGAATGTTCGTCCGGCAATCGTCGAACTTCCTCAGACGTATTCTTCCTTGAAGCGCCGTGTAATTCTGCGAGCACGGCGGTTCACCGTACTCGAGTTTGAAGCCCTTCTGGGGGCTTGTCACTTTGTAATGAACCTCGACGCGCGCTACGTAGTCGCTGAAAAATAGACGAGTCGTTTTGTCGATCGATGAAGAAATCGAGATTAAATTGGCTCGTTAAAAACATTGGCTCACCTGAAAAAGTCATGCGGTAATTCCGAGCCGCAGTATTTGTGCGGAGCTCGGGCTTGTACACTCGCCTGACGAACGACGAATTAGAAAGAAATTAAACAGATAAATAAAAATCATTTTCAGTTTGATGCTTCAATACAGTTAGATCGATCAGGCGGCCTTACCATTTTTACGTCATTCGGTTGGTATTTAACTCCACCAGCGATCAGATTCTCTCCGAAACCTCCACTTGCGACATTTTTGGACTGCAAATAAATATCGGGCAGTCAGAATAAGTGGACTAAATAGTTAGTTATTACATCATTTTTGGCGCCCTTTGTGCGCACTGTACAATTATGTTTTCGAATTTAATTTCTTTGCGTAGAAATATTATTTGAAAAATGATTGTTATTCATGACGAGACAGATCGATAGTTTATTTTCTACGATAGTACATAAATACTCGATGTTACTTCGTTGAAATAAGTTCAAATTTTAAACCACAATTTGTAAATATTACTTAATGTAACTTTATTTTATAAGTTTGAAAGTATGGATCTATTTCGAAATTATAATTAATCTTTTTGAATCTATTTTAGAGTGAAAGAAGAACCTGCTGACGATTTTATATCTGAAAATAATGATTATAAAGTAATTGACAAAACAGCCGATTCTGAAAATAATAGTTATTCAAGAGTTTTGCGAACCAATACGGCAAGTGTTGAAAATTATATGTGCAAATTGTAATGTCGTTGTTTATATTCGAAATTCTAAACCTCGATTCTTTATTTTTTTTACAGACTCAAACGCTTAAAAAATTCGGCGTAAATAGTAAAAATGAACCTGACGACATACAAATTGATGTTGAATGTATGGACGTGAAGATCGATATAAATTTTTTAGTAGTTGAAAAAATGGAGGATTATTCTCAAAATCACTGTCAGTTTAAAAAATATGGTGATGATCATAAAACTCAGAATATAATTAAAGTAGAAACTGTAGGAGTAGTAAAAGTAGGCATGCCAAATCATTAAATCATTGTATTAGCCACTCATGTTATATATGCGAAAAGTCATACGCAACCAAGCGGAGTCTCAAGAATCACATCGATTCAGTGCATAATAAAATTACACATGCATGCGATGTATGCCAAAAGATATTTACAAGAAAGGATAATCTCAAAACCCACATCGATTCGGTACATAATGGTGTCACATATGCATGCGATACATGCGGTAAGAAGTTTTCATGGAAGAGTGATCTCAAAAATCATATCGATACGGCGCATGATGGTGTCAAACATACATGTGATATATGCCAAAAGACATTCACCCAGAAGAGTAATCTCAAAAATCATATCGATACGGCACATAATGGTGTCAAACATACATGTGATATATGCCAAAAGACATTCACCCAGAAGAGTAATCTCAAAAGTCACATCGAGTCGGTGCATAATAAAATCACACATGCATGCGACATTTGTGGAAAATCATTTTCCCATAAAAATAATCTCAAAATCCACTCGGATTCGGTGCACCATGGTATCACACCTACATGTGATATATGCCAAAAGACATTCTCAGACAATAGTAGTCTAAAAAGACACATCGATTCGGTACATAATGGTGTCACAAATGCATGCGATATTTGCGGAAAGTCATACGCACGAACAGATTATCTCAAAGTCCACATCGATTCGGTGCACCATGGTATCACACCTACATGTGATATATGCGAAAAGTCATACGCAACCAATCAGAGTCTCAAAATCCACATCGATTCGGTACATAATGGTGTCACATATGCATGCGATACATGCGGTAAGAAGTTTTCACGGAAGATTCATCTCCAAAATCATATCGATACGGCACATAATGGTGTCAAACATGCATGCGACACATTCGAAAAGAAGTTTTCATGGAAGGTTTATCTTAAAAGACATATTGATGCTGTGCATAATAAAATTACTCATGCTTGTGATATATGCAGCAAGTTATTTTCGAAGAAGAATAGTCTCAAGCTCCATGTAGAGGAGTTGCACAAAGGTATCATCTATGCGTGTGATTTCTGTGAACAAAAATATAAATTTCAATCTCATCTAAATAGGCATGTTAAATTGTCGCATAATAGTATAACCCATGCATGCCAGACATGCGGAAAGACATTCGCGCAGAGGCGAAATCTCATAGCTCATATTGACATGGCACATCGCTAGCGCATTATGCCATAATAAAGACGCTGTCAATTCGTTGGCAATTATTCATTAAATTTTAACATTGAAAAAGTAACAAAATTAAAGACAACTCCTAGTTTTACTCTTGTTATAAACTTCAAAAAATTCATTTGTACCTAACAAAAAAAAACAAGAAACTGAATTTTTGTAAAAAAAAAAACATTTTTCATTTTCGGCGTGTGACTTTTCAAATAAAGATTTAATCTTAACTGCTTTCCTTCCATAATTATTTTTGAAATATTCAAAAAAATTATTAATACAACAAACGAAAAGTATATATTTTGAAACCTGAAAAAAATATTCCATCGTTATGCATAAAATAACCGAAGCTATATAGTGCTTGAAATCGTCCCCGCAGGGGGCTGGGTTGTCAGTCGAGCTGCTGCAAATCATCGCAGATATAACACCAGCATTTTTGGTTTTAAACAGCGATTGTCCACACTAGTGGCCTTTGTAGTATTTACATGACAGAAAAATATTCGTGTAAAATCCTTTTGAAAGTTTGTAAAGCACAAAAAAGCTGTCACAGGCTCTCTATGCAAACGGTTGGTTGCTTTGATTCGTCATGCATCTCTTTCGAGTCATCGGGACGTGTAAGGCATCCGCATTGAACGACGACCACTACATAAATTTGAAAGAGTAAATTTTCGGGCCGACGACATATCGTAAAATAATATCGAGCATCGTTTAATCGGTTGCTCCAAAACTTCTCATCGCACGTCGTGTCGTTCCGCATGTTTACATTGTTCCTTGGGCGATTGGCTCTGTGTTACTTTGAGAAAGTGACAGTTGAGAAATCGACCATAACATTGCTACAATCCCGCACCGTACGTCGATCAGTCGAGTACCAATTACGGCGTGTCTCGCAAATCAAACTCAACAAGTTCGCATCGACTGCCGCCAGTGATTCTCGTGAAGAGAAGTAAAAATTATTTCGTAATACAAAAAGTGCGAGCCGGCCAAAAAGATGTCCACGGACAGTCAAAATTTTATACGTCGACTCAATGTCATAAGGACAGAATTGGAAGGCCAAATTTCTCGATTCATAGAAGAATTCACGCCAAAAGAAATTGAGCAGTTTCTCTTCGACGTGGTAAATATTATGTCGGATTATAGGTATTCCTCTATAGGACAAACGATCGTGTCGAACATCGCTCATAACGGCGTCAAGGACGTGCCCGACCTTGGAGAAGATGGCAAGCCTCTGTCGGATCGCTACACGCCGCTGCACAAGGCGATCAATAACGTACAAGATTTTCGAGATAGCTTGATCGAGGACCTATTTATGATCTACGACAGATTCGACGTGAACTACACCGACGAGTCTGGATTGACGCATTTCCACATAGCCTGCATCGCTGGTTGCTACGACGCCGTCGAGAACTTCCTCAGGAGCGGACAGGATCAAAATTGCATTTGGTCGGGTGACTCGCCGCTGCATCTAGCTTTAAAAAACCGCCACGAAGACATTGCCAAGATGTTGCTATTGCACGACTTGGATCCGAATTTGGCCGACGGCGACGGATTGACTCCTCTGCACCTCATTTGTCGAGGATACAATTTCACGGATAGCGACATGGCCGAGGTATTCTTCCAGACAAACGAGGCGAAGCAGAGGAGGGTGGAGATCGACGCCCGGGACAACGGGCACAATACGCCGTTGCACTTGGCTCTGGCTTGCGGCAACAGGAAGGAGCCCGAAGTGCTGCTGAGGAGAGGCGCGGACCCGACTTTAACCAATGCAGAAGGATCGACGTGTCTGCACATCATTTGCCATTTCAAGTACGACGATTACGGATTAGCGAAACTATTCTTCAAGATCATCGACGATATGAAGCTAGTAGTGGAGATCGAAGCCCAGGACAGGTCGGGACAGACACCTTTACAGTTGGCTCTGAAGAATTTTTTGACGGGTGCGGCCGAAGAGCTCTTGGATCACGGTGCTGTATTTCCTGGCTACGATTTTCTCACGAGTCACCTTGCCGAGCAGTTCAACTCGAATGAAGCTAGTTCGTGCAATTATAAATTGAGACTGGCGTGTGGCGTTGTGGGCTTGATCGAAAGTCTTGAAAAACAAGGATACGAGCTGGACGACGGCAACGCCCTTAGAATCATGAGACTGTTCGATGAGCACAGATTGATCAAGAGGTCGGCGACTTTCAACGAAAGTTGGCACAATGACAACGACTTCGTGGCGAAAGCGCAATGGTGGAGTGTCAATGCGGATTTCAATTCCGACGATATGGAGCAGAACCTGTGGCTCAAAAACCTGGTCAAGGAGAGACCCGAAGAGGCGGCGAAACTACTCACGTACAGGGACTGGGTCAAGTTCGCGGGGCCGAGCAGGCCATGGGAGCATCTGCCCGAAAATTATCACGAGCCTCTTGTTATGCACATGTGCGAGATAATGGCGAGAAAATTTTTCCGGAAATGGGCGCTGTGTTATTTCAGGAACATGATTGGGTGGCGACTGCCTGCTGAGTGCTGCGATATGATCATCGACGATGACTTCACCAACGAGAATTTATTGATTATTTGCTTGGCGGCTATTATTCCAGAGAACAATGCTTTACAAAGCAATGAATCAAACGATGCATAAAAACTGCCATCAACTCGCGTAAGTGAACATACACAAAGTCAAACAAAGAATAAAATCGTAATCGAATAATCACCGTCGCGGGACAGTCAACCAAATGCGATTTATCTATTGTAAGGGTATATTTTTACCCGTTCTTTCGATTCTTGTACATTTGAACGAATGTTAAAAAAACAATAATTTTATTGTGATGTTTCTTGATACTTGTTAGATAAAGAAGTCTTAAAAATGTCTGTCTTCAATAGTCGAGATGAGATAAAAGTGTATCAATGAAAATTTCGGGTTTTCAAGGTAATCAAATTTGATTTTTTTTCATTGTAATCAATTACGTATTGGATACGTATCATCTGTATAAATCTAAGCTGATATTTTGTAAATATTAAACCACTTTAGAAATTAATTTTTAAAAATAAATGATTGACAAGTAACAAAAATTGCATTTATACAAGTAAAATCATTATACTACCTCGAAATATGTATTCACTTTGTTCATTAAAACTTCAACGATTGCAACTCATTGATTTTATCATTGTCATAAACCCACGATTGAGCGCAAGTGAGGGCGTCGTAATTTCGTGTTTATCTATATAATTTTGATCTAAATAATTTATTAATTATCTAAGTAATTTTACCCTATTCATTTCAAGTCGAGTCAAAAATTGCTCGACTAATCCGAAGATCAGATATTAAACTGATTAACTTTTTTGGATCAATAAACTATTTTTCTCACCCTATCGTCGCTAATCTCCAAGTAATCTTCGCTGCAGTCTTTCGAGTCCTTGATATCGAAATCTTTGAACGTGATGAGCAGTGATTCCTTCGTCCTTATAGTCCACTTGCAGCTCACGGCACTTGGATAATTGTCGGGGTAACGCGGCGAGGTCAGTACTTGCGTATAATTCCTGATGTCCAAAGTCGTCTTTCCACACGGTGCTGAAAAATCAAGCTCGATTGAGAAAATCATTCGTTCGTATTACGTTTGACCGAGTCACTTACATTCGAGAGCTCTGAGCGATCCCTCGACTCCGAGTCCCTCGTGGATGCCGTCCGAGACGAACCTAATGAAGAGCAAATGGGACGTCGACACTACTGGCGGCGGAGCCTGACTTCCGCAGATCCTGAAGATCACCTTGGCGAACGGACCACCGTCTCTCAGCTCCAAGTAGTCGCTGCTGCAATTTTCGGCCTTCTCGACCAACGATCCGTTTATCGTAGTTTTCACGTCCATCTTATCGATGGTGAACTTGATTTGATGCTCTTCCGGTGCGACGATCAACCAGTGACAATCGGCGAACGGACTGTACTTGTGAGCTTTTTGCGTTTTGAATCGAACGCTGGCTGCGCCACTCGCTACGTTTATGTTTCCGCCGCATCCTTGATTCGGGCCGTCGACAAAAAATACCTGAAAAGTACATTGTTTTATCAGTGTAAGAGCTACTTTCATTGTCTAGAGTGAAACTTACAGCCGCCTTGAATTTATCCACGTCGGTGCCGTAAGGGAAAGTTTTAAGAGCGATCGTCATCACATTGCCGATAGACTGAATTACTGGTAAAATACCACCGGCGTCATTGCAAAAAGCTGCCCTCCGATTTTTCAGCTCGGTCGAATTACCCTCGAACACGTGCAAGTAATGCGCATCGCACCTGAAATCAGACACGAAACTTGAAAATTCTCCCAGTTAAAAAGTGTCTAATTATGGGAATCGATCGCTTACTTCGTGGTCCATTCTTTGATGTAAAATTCTTCAACGCGCAACACGACACTCTTGTCCGACGGAGCTTTTACCACCCAAATGCAGTTCAGGAAGCCGTAGCCCGTCTCCATGTAGGGCTTTATCATTCGAGGCGACGTGATGGTACCTCCGCAATCTTGACAACAACAACAAATATGTATAGTTTGTCCGGTTTTACTTTTCTCGAAACTTACCGTTGAACGAGTAATGAAATTTGAATCCTTGACGACCGATCGAGTTGTCCGAGCGAAATACTATTACCAGCCTGCCGGGGGCGTTTTTTTGTTCGGGACCGTTGTCGCCGCAGTAAATTTTTTCTCGTTCAAACTGACCTCTGCGGATGGTCAAGTTGTCGTATCGGCATTCCGCGTCTCGACCTGCAAGGTTTCATCGGGTTACAAAAATGATACAGCTTTTTTTCTTGGCGCAATATATTACAGATGAAAATTTTTTTATTATTCGTTGGACTTCAGTTAAAAAATAATGTGTTTTCTTCGATTACATAGATAAAATGGCTTAGTTTTTCTTCGTTTACTTTGACTTTATCAAAGTACTATAAAATTATTTGTCAATATTATTTTTTTTAAGACTTGATAAACGCCTGCCTAGACGCTATTCCAGCATTTGATTGGCTATGGGGTGAATCTGAAAGTTGGTTGGACATTTTAAAATTGATTTTTATATTTTACCTCACATTATGAACTTGACTAAATCATCAATTTTTGGACAAGAATATTTTCCGAGCTGTGTCAATATAAAAATTACTAGTATTACAGTAAAGATTAAAATCGTTATTAATGATTACTTAAAAAGCATATAATACATGACACAAAGGAAAGACGTTGTAAACAATGAGGATTCAACTAGAACAGAATCTATCGTTTTTTTTATAGTCTAATTTTAACTTAACTAAAATGTATAGACACATGCAATCGAAATAAACCCATCAACATTGTATAACAGTGTGTTCTAATTCATTGATCATTCTGTTAATAACTTTATTATCAGCTTCTTTTAATTATACTATATTTGTAGCCATATTTACGCATAACGAATATGATATATAAAAAAAGTAAAGATGTTTTGTCAATGCGTACATTGTTATACTATCATGACAAGTTAGATCACGGATAGAATGTCAAAAAGCGATCTGAAAAGTTGCACCTTTATTATGCGATCACTCCACGCAGCTCATCACGGCAAAACACTGTGCTGGCTAAAATATGGAAAGGTCTTTCATACATACTACGCACTATACGTAAACAACAAAAAACGAGCCCGGATCTCTGCACGCTTCGACAATTTTCCTGCGTAGTTTGCTCGATCAACACAGAGAGGTTAATAGTCGAAGAAGTTTCAAGTGAGAACGATGGAACCCAGTGATTCATATAATTGTGCTATCAGGTAATTTTCATTTTATGATAATGAAATATTATGTGATTTAATACTCAATTTTATTGAACTTATTCCAGAGTGAAAGAGGAACATAGTTATGCGTTGCTTATTGAAAATGATTCTGGGATCATTGATGAGAAACCGGATCTTAAAAACTTACAACTTTTACTACTTCCACCAGAAAGTTCGGTAAGTGATGATAACTATTTTTAAATCGTATTTTATTTGTTTTTAACAATAATTTTTTCAAACCTTGATTTTTCGACAGAACCAAACAGTTCGAAAATGTGACGAACATCGTGAAAGTGAACTTGATATTGAAGTGGAAATAACATTTGAGTGTGAAAACCTTAAACCCCAAATGAATTTGTCAGTACATGAAAAAATTGACGATTATTCTCAAAGTCATTTGCGGAATGTAAAAGATAGCGATGGTTACAAAATTCAAAATGCAGTCAGAATAGAATACGTGGAAGAAGAGAAACAGACATTTTTTGGGGATGCAGAAAAATCAAATTTGAATTTCGAATGCGAACTTGCCAGACTAGATAAAAGAAGAATAATTAGAAAGAAGTTAAATAATGAACATAACCTCAAAACACACGTAGGTACGATGAATAGTGATACAACCCATGCATGTGATGTATGTGTCAAGACATTTTCTCAAAGTCAGCATCTCAAATTCCACATCGATAAGGTGCATCATAAAATCACGTCCACGTACGATATGTGCGGAAAATCATTTTCACTAACAGGTTATGTAGCCCATATTGACGCGGTGCATAATGGTGTCCCGCATGCATGTCACATATGCGGAAAAAATACATAACGAAGGGTTATCTCAAAGCTCATATCGATAAGGTAAATAATAATATCATTTGTTATATATGCAGAAAGACATTCGCGCATAAGGGCTATCTCCAAACCCATATTGATTCGGTGCATATCTCACATTCATGTGATATGAGCGGAAAGACGTTATGCAAGAGTAGTCTCAAGACCCACGTTGATAAAATGCACAAAGATGTCAGGCATGCGTGCGATACATGCGGTAAGAAGTTTTCAGGGAAGAGTGATCTCCAAAATCATATCGATACGGCACATGATGGTGTCAAACATATATGTGATATATGCCAAAAGACATTCACCCAGAAGAGTAATCTCAAAACCCACATCGATACGGCACATAATGGTGTGAAACATACACGTGATACATGCCACAAGACATTCACCCAGAAGAGTAATCTCAAAAGTCACATCGATACCGTACACAAAGGTGTCAAAAATTCTTGCAATATATGTGGCAAGTCATTTGCTCACAGACGTAATATCAAAGCCCACATTAATGCAGTGCATAATGGTATTTTAAAAGTAAGCATTACCTCAAACATGCTATCGGCGGATGAGACATTGATTCGATGCATCACTCACGTATTACAACTTAACAAAAATATATCTTCAGAAAACTTAAAAATTTTAAAGATAATAAATTTCATAAATTCTTTCAGTATTATCTTATATTGTAAAAACAAAGTTTAATTTTTAAAAATATTCAATAAAATTTTGGAGAAAACAAAGCACATTATTTATTGTAAAGCTATAATAGATTATTGAAACCTTTCAGGGTCAATTGCAAATTATATGATTGCTTTTTAGCATACTTCACTCAACCCAGGTACATCAAACTTTATTTTTCACTTTATGTCTATATAAATAGGAACTAAATTGCTTCGAAACTATCAACGTTATTTTGCACGTCCATTTTTAAAAAGAGGATATATCAGCAACTCAATATTTTTCTTACCTTCCAGCGCAAAGTGCGTAAAGTTAACGGTGATCTCCATGTCGTCGGGCGCCACGATGGTGTAATTGCAGAAGCTGTTCGACGGGTAGACCAGGGGGAAATTCGGCGACTCGATGTACTGCAACGACTCGGTGGCCTCGTAGACGCCACCGCAGACCGAGGACCAGATGGCCTTGAAACCGTCGGCCTCGATCGCCGAGTTGGACACGAATTTGACGCGCATCTTGGGGCCGGTCGAATTGAACGGCTTGTCCGGTGAGTTTCGGCCACAGACTCGCGCCAGACTCTTCCAGGCACCCGTTCCGTTGTTTGGGTCCTCGAGCCAGTCGTAAATCTGTGTGCAACGGCATGAGTATTATTTGTGACGAGTGTGATTTCGTCGATGACCGATCGATTCACGACTCACCTCGACGTAGTCGTTCTGACAATTTTCACTGGTTTCGAGATTGAATCTCTCGACGAACGCGAGACCGACGTGATATCCAGACTTGGCCACTATGTCCCAGACGCACTCGACATTGCTCGGATAGGCCGATGGAAATCTAATAAAATCGATCGATAAATACGAAGTAAAACGGACAATCGTCTAAGCTTGAAAAAATTACCCTGGCGATCGAATCAATTTGTTTCTTCCTTTCAGAAGCCCTCCGCAACTCGTCGAATCGACGTTCACCGAGATTTTGAACGATTTACCCGGAACGGCGGCGTAGTACTGGACGTAGAGCTGATTCGAGGGGCTGTCGAAATTCTTGGCCGATTTGCCGTTGTCGTCGCAGTACATGCCCAACGTCGGAGACTTGTAGATTCTCGATCTGTCATGATTATGATTATCGATTTTCAGCCTCGATCGATTTATAATCGTAGTCAATAAAAAACTTGTATTTAACTCACGTAATGTGCAGGTAAGACTCGTTGCAAGAGCCCAGTTTCATCTCGTCGAACGACACCGATATCGTTTCGGTCTCAGGGTACTTGACTTTCCAAGCGCAGTAGACCGGATAAGAGACATTTGTGGGCGATTCGATTACGTGGGAAGGACCATGCAGTATACCGCCGCAATTGTGCCACTTGTAGGTGATGTTGAAATTCGACGCGAATAAAGTTCCGCTGAGAGCCTATCGGACGAAAATACGTGTGAATTGAGATAATAGTTTTAACTTTCGAGGGCGATTATCTTACCGTGATCGAGTGCGATTTATAAGGACTGAGAACGGTCAGTGGAGTCTTCGTGAAGTTTCCGCATATTTTGGCGATGGGTTCGTTTCCTAAAAAATTCAAAAGTCGTTCAAAATGATTCCAACTGTTTTGAAACAATTTTTGGACAATTACCTCTCACGGTGACGTAATTGAAGTAACCCGGACAGAATTTCGTGGGTGTATCTTTGCTAATCAATCCAGAAGCTGAGAGAGACAACGTCGAAGGTCCTCCGGTATCGTTGTTCTCCACCTTAGGAGAATTCACGGTCCACTGGCAGAAAAACGTGGTGAAATTTGTGCCCGAGGATCGCCTCGATGGACTCGAAAGAATACCTTGCCAGTCTTCGTGCTTTCCTCCACAGGCTGTAATGAATTCGATAGTCTTGATCCTCGTAAATAATTTTAATTTTCTTTGGTGTGTACTTACGCGCGGGATATTTAGCTGTAAATTTGGCCTTCATGCCTCGATGACCTCCCACCGAGACGTAGTAAATGCTCATGTAATTCGATGTGCTCGACACCGTCATCGACTGCGTGGAATTGCGTACAAGAGCTATCGTCGTCATGGAGTGAGGGTCGTTGTGGAACTGCGAGATAGATCACACGAAACGGATAGCGCTCGCGATTCAACGTCATCGAGTTTCAAGTACAGCGATTATGCAAGCTTACCGACAGATGACTTCCCGCGGTGACTCGGCTGTAGCTCAGATCCAGATCGATCACATCGACCGAGACCCGATAGCCTTCCTGCACCTGGATGCGCCAGGAGCAGTACTGGTAGCCGCTGACGCGCGGATAGTCGGTGGTCTGAAAGTAGCCCCCGGCGCCGCTGAGCTGGCCGCCGCACTTCTGGAAGCTGTAGGTGTAGTTGAGCCGGAAGCCCCGCGCCGCCGGCATTCGGGCGTTCACGAACGAATTCTCGAACTCGACCAGGACGGTGCGCGAGCTCGTCTGTATGAGGCCCGGTGATTTACGGCCGCAGTACGTGCCGATCAGCGTAACTGTAATAAATTTAGAGGATAAAATCGTATTGTCGAGAAGTGGTTGTACTTTTTAGCTCACAGTTCTCAGCGTCGTCGAGGTTCCTCTCGAAGATGGCGACGTGGTCGGTCTCGCTGCAGTTGCGACGACTCGGCAGGTCGATGTCCTCGAACTGGATCTGCACGCCCTGCATCGCCGACGGCGACACGATCAGCCAGCTGCAATTGTTCGACTTGGTCGCGTAGGTCTCCGGGTAATTCGGCGACGAGATCACGCCGCTCCGTGGCTCCCTCTCGATCCCTCCGCAGACGTCTACAGACGAAAATTGCGTGACTATTGTATGGTGCAGTTGAAATTTTAAAAAAAAAACCCTTACCTCCGGTAGTGATCATGGCTTTGAAGCCGTTGCGAGGCTCCGGCACGTCGGTGAAGTAGTGCACGTAAATGATGTTGCCCTGTGTAGTTATCGTGCTCGGAGGGGTGTTTCGACAGAAGCGCCCGAGCAGCGGCGAGAATTCCGTCCCGCCGTCGCGCACCTCCACGTACTCCTTCTCGCAGCCCACCGAGAAGGCCAAATCGAATCGGCCCGTGAAGTGAATCGACAGCCGACTGTCGTCCAGGCTCATGATCGTCCAGGTGCACTCCGTATGAGGATGTGGTATGTTGGGATAATTCGGCGAGCTGATCTCCTGCTTGATGCTCGTGAGCTTGGACAGCTCGAAGTTGCCGCCGCAGTCGTAGCCGAGCTCTCGGAACACCAGCTTGAACTTGAGATTCGACTGGGACATCGAGAGCTTGACGAAGAGCTGATTCGAGCTGGTGTTGCGCCAGCTGCTGTCCGACGACCAAGCGCGGCAGTACTTGCCGTCGCCCAGCAAGGGAGAATCCGCCGAGCCGCCGTTCTGCAGGATGTAATAGTTGGCCCGGCAGGGCCTGGTCTCGTCCGCTGGGGCGTTACTCTTCTTGGTCGGGTCCTCGAAGACGACGACTTGGAAGGTGATTCGCTTGCCCGGTCGCACTTTCACGACCCACTCGCAGTTGCGCACGTACATGTCGATCTTCTCGTTGGGACTGTTGTTGATCGATATGGCTCCGCTCGATCTTTCGATCTGACCGCCGCACACTGCACAAATTATTTTTTATTTAAGACGATCCTGGATGGGTGAAAATTTCCAACTTACCGATGTAGGCTATTGCTGAAAATCCCGTTTTAGTCTCGACCGCATCGGTCTCGAACGTGACTTTCATGAAATTACTCGTGCTCGTGTAAAGATTCATGGTAGCGTTCGACAGGCAGAATTTTTGCACCTTTGACGAGTCGCTGGACATGGGATTCGTATCGACGAGCACGTGATCGGCCAGGCAATTCTCCGTCTGCTCGATGTCGAGCACGATGAATTTCAGGGTGATGTGGGTGTCGTACGGCGCCTCGAAATTCCACGTGTACTTGATGCTGTTGTTGTAGCCCAGAGGATAGCCCGGCGATCGGAAGGCGAACGACGCGTTGCTCTTGGTAAGGATGACGGTCGTGTCGTTGCCGATTTCTGCAAAGTGTGAATTAACGAAGTTAATAATTAGGACCGACGCGTTGGAATTGAAAATTGATTCGAGAGTATAGTGCGCGTACTAGTGACTTGGTCCTCGATGTTGGTGGGTGTCATCGTTTTTCGCGGTACCTTGAGCCACTTCAAGTGGAACCAATTGCCGAGGGTATTGAAGTTGTTCTCCATCTCGATGTACATGACGTTACCGCTGGATACGATCGGTTTGCGGCTAATCGATATACCGCACAGCTCCTCGAGCTTGGGTGCGTCGTTGTCGAATCCATCGTAGAACTGAAAATTCATACGACTCGGTGAAAAAAATGAATAATTTATATCGTACTAGATCTTTGTATGGTGCTTGGCGTACCAGAGACTAATTTTTAATAACTCATTTTTCTGTAATATTGAATCATTGACAGAAAAATGTTTACTACTCATTAAAACGAGATAAAGTATGAGTAATTTCTTTGATGATATAATTATAGTGACATAGTTTTGCTTCGTTTACATTGACTGCATCGATATTTCATAAAATAACGAGAAAAAATGTTGTAACATTTTTGCGTTAAATTTAAGTTGTATAAGAAATGAAAGACGATATAGAGCTGTGCTATTGGCTATCATATCATTCAAATTTACCCATTAACGCGCAAAAGTGCAATTTTGTGCATGAATTTTCCGTTGTAAAAAAATTATAGATAAAGTTAAAATATTTTCTTGAAAATCCATACCCAGGGGTTTTTGGGTATGCTCTTTCAGTATCCGGTGTTATTTTTGCGATAAATAAACATCATCATCGTTTATTTTGCCATTAAAAACAAAAAACGTGATTTTTTGACTCAAAATTTTTTTTCAAAGTCGATTTTCTACTTTGCCTTGCCTTCGGAGGGTTCCCATAACACCAGAAATCGTGCACTTTTTCTCTGAACCTTCAAAAAATGCACTGCCGCGATTTTTATCTTGCCCCTATATTTCTAAAATGGCCAATTTATACCGGGCAGTGGTATAAAAATTCACTCATTTTTTACTCAGAACCTATTTTACATGCGCTAAATATGAACTCAAAAGTACAATTTGGAGTGTAAAAACTTATTTGAAATCGTTCAGAGAATACGTGTGATTTTTTTCAGAATTTTTCAGACCACTTTGAAAATTTCGAAAAATACGACCATTTCCCGGCCTGTCGAAATAATCCAAAATGTTCCAAAAAAATCTGAAAAATTCTACAAAAAATTATTACAAAATTCTAAAAAAAACTCACATCTATTCTTTGAACAAATTTGAACACTTTTCATTGTATGACTTTCTTTTATAAAGTCAATAATTTACAAATAAAAAATAAGGCAATTTTCATATCGCTGTTCGGTATAAATTAGCCATTTTAGAAATATAGGGGCTAGATAAAAATCGCGGCAGCGCATTTTTTGAAGGTTCAGAGAAAAAGTGCACGATTTCTGGTGTTATGGGAACCCTCCGAAGGCAAGGCAAGGTAGAAAATCGACTTCGAAAAAAAATTTTGAGTCGAAACATCACGTTTTTTGTTTTTAATGGCAAAATAAACGATGATAATGTTTATTTATCGCAAAAATAACACCGGATACTAAAAGAGCATACTCAAAAACCCCTGGGTATGGATTTTCAAGAAAATATTTTAACTTTATCTATAATTTTTTTACAACCGAAAATTCATGCACAAAATTGCACTTTTGCGCGTTAATGGGTTAATTTGAGACCGCTGCTGCACCCAAGAAATGCATTAAGCAAAAATTTCCATGAAAATTATGCTCCAAATTTAAATTAATTATGTACAGCTTATAAACAATTCATAAAGTCAAATGATGTTCTGAAACATATTAATAACCAATGGCAGGCATTATGCGAGGATATTTTTCCAAGTTATATCTCTGAACAATCTGATGTGGATTCGTTTTGAATTGAATTATTAGCCTATCAAGAGGTATCGAGAAATAATTATTATAAAGACTTGTGTGATTTCGCTTTAACTATTTTGTTGCTACCAAATAGTAATGCTAGCGCGGAGCGCTTATGGAGTAAATATAATTTGCAGAAACCGTAATACGAAATCGGCTCTATTTTGAAACCGTTCGAGATGTTTTATTTGCAGCCTATTTGGCAAGATATATACGAGAAAACAATGGCTCTTATAAATTTAGTGATCGTATGATCAGCGCAGCAATTAATGTGAACACAAAAAAAATCAAAGCCAAAACCTATTTTAGTTCAAATCAAAAATATCGGATGTCTGGGATGAACACTCATATTTCGTAAATAATAAAAAGATAAACCATGAGATCGACATATAAAATTAAGAGAAAGCCCGAAGTTAATTACTTGAATAAACTCCCAGGAGGTGAAAACTCTTATAACTTTGAATTATTCTTTTACTTAAGGGGAGGTTTTCATCCACTGGCCCAAAAATGATGTGATTCTCATGTGGTAGACTTTGAATTCACATACTAATTGTAAGAGAGAATTCTTAAAAGTAAAAGCAAGTTCAAAATGCAAAAATCAATTGATTTTTCGGTCGATCTTGATGACCTTCCCTTAAAATTAAATGATAAAAGTTTAAAAAGTTTGTACCAAAAAATTCCTTAATGCCAGCCTTATCAAACATTTTTTTGAGATTCATGCAACAAATACGAGCCTTTTTCAGAATTAATCTTACCTATAACTTTTTAATGAGTGCAATGAAAAAGTTATAATTGTTTTCTAGAATTTAATCACTATTTTATTTACAGAATCATATATTCATATTGCGAATAAAATCCCACGTTTATAAATTGAAAACGATGACTCCGTGGAAACTGAGGATTTAGAATCAACTAATTCCACAATAGGTATAGGTTTTTGCAGTTTTTTGTAATAATAACATTATTTCATGTATAATTTTGCATGTTTATTTCGATTGTAAGCTCCTATGTGCCAATTTTCGCTACTTAAAAACACGTTTTTTGGATTGCTAATTATCAATGTGCGTGAAAATAGTTTGATTTGACCAATTGATCCAACTATTTCACATTATTTATTTTTTTTTTATGAAAATTTGTATTTACATATATTATGATATTATCTATAACATCTGATTATAATAGGGCAACCTGAGAAATTCGTACCTGAGATTTTAGAATTTGAGAATGACGAGCCAGAGAAATTCGTACCTGAGATTTTTGAATTTGAGAATGATGAGCTCGAGAATGAAAGTATGCCAGAATCAGAGTTAGCAAACAATTATATGCAATATCGAGATGCATATTTTGCAAAATATGGAACAATAGCTGTTTATAAATTCAACGATCTCAAATCATTTCACTATCAGACGGGATCAACTCTATATATTCATATGAACCAATTGCAAACACTCGAAGATAAACGATTCATCGAACAATCTATTATCGAAGCATATATGATACGTAAAATAACAAAAAAAGAATGGGAAAATACGTGTTTTATTCCTTTTAACGCAAGTACTTGGATTTTGGGTGATATAAAAGAAATTACAAAAAAAACACGATCATTATATTTTCAAATTTGATTAACATTACAAGGATATAGTTTTGGTGCCCTACATGCGTGATGAGCATTGCTGCATTCTTATTTTGAATTGTCTCACGCGGCAGATGTACCAATACAATCCAATGCGGTCTATACCATCAACTGATGTAACAAATATTTTTTTAAATTATTTAAATAAATGTATCCCGAATCGATAAACTGCAATTGAATGGGAGGTCGATATGAAAGCGCATGGGTTAGCTTTGCAGACCGATGGATGGAACTGCGTAATTTACGTTATAAAATACATGGATTATTACATGAAAAAAATTCATGGAGTGATTCACTACGACAATCGACCGGGCGCTGAATATAGACGATATGTAGCAAACTCGGTTGTAAACTATTCTTTCTCACTCGATGAAGTTTGTTTAGGATGCCATAATACAAAAAAGGTACATAATTATATGTTATAGATACATAACATTTTTGACGACATAATGGTGTAATTTAATGCATATATTTTTGTATCAGACTCTTAGGTATACATGTGGCGCCTGGAAATTCATCCCCTGTCACACGACGGTCGCGCCGTCAGCTGGGCCTCCCACCGAACGAGCGAGACAGCTGACCGCGTGATTTCACGCCTGCCCTCACCTGTGATGTGAGGTAGAGAAGGGAGCGCCGCAACGGTTCGGTCGGCTACGGCCCTTTAAGAACCCCGGAAAAGTGCGGAGCTCTCTCTCTCGCTGATCAGCTCTCCTCGAGTCCACACGTGTGGCTACGAGGACGCCACAAAATTGTCTTTGTCGCTCATACGAGCTCGTTGTAATATTACGATAAGTTTAAATAAAAGTAAGTTAATTCAGTTCAAGTCTGAGGTACGTCTAATTGAATCGCCCTACCTCAACGACCCACAAGACTGAAAATACATGCAAAAATTGTAGTCGAAAAATACACGATACATCAAAATGCCTATACTTTTTTTCAACGAAGAAATGTGCAAAGTTTTGCAAACAAAACCACGAAGAAGATTATGACGCAAAAAAATTGCCGAATCCATTAAACCATTGTTGGTTAAATTCATGTTGTGACGATGTCACTGGGAGGTATTTGACGCAAAAATAGCGAACCGTAATACTGTGAATGCATGAGTGAGTTGCGCGACCGAAAGCATGATAAGGAAGGGAATCGAGTATCACTCGAGCTTGCGTTCGAGGTTCAGGGCAAAGGAAGAGCCAAGTTAACCTCGGACGCGGCTCTCGGACCACGTGCACTAGAGAGTAGATCGAGCCGTGCGAGTCGAGCGCTTCGCGTTCGATGCGTCGTCGATCTGCGCGACAGTGCACACAGCAGATTCGCAATTAGACCGCGGGAGAGAACGGACGTGTCGAAGAGTGATAAGTCGCGAGAGAGGCAGCGTGGCCTTGGACGTAGTGAAATCGTGTAGAAACTGTGGGTCAGCGGTCGAGTTGTTCGCGAGGAAGCTGTGAGTGCAGCGGAAGTTCGTGTGTATGTCTGTGGACAGTAGGGTGTCCGTTATTTCCCGACTTTTTTGTATTGCTTCTCCCCCCACCTAGATGTCTTCTATTTGATAAGACAATGAGAAAGCCGGGTAATAGAGTTCGAAAAAATGATTTTAAGGTGGCCCCCAAGCGGCTTGAAGCTTACATGTATTTTAAATGGGAAAAACTTAAAAATTTGATTCCCAGCGATAAAAATGATGAAAAAATTTGAAAAAATTCAGCAACCCATGTATTTTATGTATTTTTTGACGAAGAATCGATTGGTGACCTTGAATTTGACCTTGAACATAACCTCAAAGCTACAGAGAACCAAAAATCATTTTTTTCACAGTGACCCCTATTTTTTATTGCAGATTCGAAAAGAGCGAAAAATTCCATGTCTGATTATGTCTTTCGATTTTTTTTCAAGGGTATTCAAAAGGCGCTGCAGATATAGATAAAGCCCTAACTAGTAAAAACTCGAAAATTGCACGCTAAAATTAGGGTTTTATTTGTATCTGTAGCATCTTTATAATGCCCTTGAAAAAAAATCAAAAGACATAATTTGACTTGAAATTTTCCGCTCTTTTCGAATCTGCAATAAAAAGTGGGGGTTACCGCAAAAAAAACGATTTTTCTCAATATTTTGTTCGCTGTAGCTTTGAGGTTATGTTCAAGGTCAAATTCAAGGTCACCAATCGATTCCTCGTCAAAAAATACATAAAATACATGGGTTGCTGAATTTTTTCAAATTTTTTCATCATTTTTATCGCTGAGAATCAAATTTTTAAGTTTTTCCCATTTAAAATACATGTAAGCTTCAAGCCGCTTGGGGGCCACCTTACAATCATTTTTTCGAACTCTATAACCCGGCTTTCTCATTGTCTTATCAAATAGAAGACATCTAGGTGGGGGGAGAAGCAATACAAAAAAGTCGGGAAATAACGGACACCCTAAGTGGACAGGCTGTGTTCACGCCTGGAGTTCAGTGCGGCGAGAGAAGTGTTGCGACGTGACGAGGCGATTCGCGAAGCTCGGAAGGTAGCGAGCCAAGCGGATCTGCTGACCGGGCCTGTTCTCCAAAGGGTGTGCAATTTTATTTGGCAAATGTGCAATTTTTCTATCGAAACAGAATGTCAAAAAGTGTAATAGTTTAGAAGATATTAATGTCAAAAGGTAGTATCGACGCGTCGAATTTCGTGAATTTTTTACAACAAATTCAAGGCTGTGCAAATGTTGCGAATTGTTTCAAGTTACTTGGACTTCAAGACGTAGTTCGAGTCCACGTGTCGCGTTTCAGGCCTGTGCGTGGCCATTATTGCGAAGCAGTACTTCCGCCTTGGACGCTCCTGTGAGAGCAAGCGAGATAGCGCGTATTGTCTTGGTCACGTGACCAAATCGCGCGTCTGCTAGCGCGAGCAGAGCAAAGGCGTAGACTGTATTTGGGGGAAACGAGCCGATTGCGCGCAGTGCAATTGCGCGGCACTTGGCTGGGACTCGCGTCGGACTAGCGTTGTAATCCGCGCGTTTCCCCTTGGACTCGCGTATTATCGATTATTTCCCGTTGCACGAGAGGATGATAATGATAAGAAATGAGATGAAATTGCGAAATGAAGCGCGATTGCAGTGATGATTGTATGAATGATAGTTGAAAGTCGGAGTTAAATAAAGAACGATTATTTGTGTGCAAAAGTACATTTTTCGTAGTCTTTTCGCGACCCTCTCTCACTTATTTTCAGCTTGGACTGCCGAAGCTCGTGGCGCACTTGGTGGCGGCTCGACCCCTTCTGAGGTAAGACTCAAAGATAGGCTAACCGGAGCCTCAGTAAGAAATAATTAAACGGCAGGCCTAGTGCCCAAAACCTCGCACGTCACAATGTTTACAACTACTTTTTGCTTTACATATTTATAACTTCTCTGGCATTTATTTGACGTCCACAACTTCGGAATTATTAAAAAGCTTTTTAGAATTACGAACATTTCTGCAATCTCAAGCTTCATCCGATAAGACAGTAGTATTGAAATTATTGAAGTAAGTAATATCACTTGTACTTTTTAAATATTCTAGATTTAAAAATATTCAAAAAATGCTTATTATGGAATATCAAATTTTTTAAATGATCACTTTTTTATCTCATTTTGAATCCATCCTATTCTTACCTCTTCATAAAAATATTAATAACAAACATATCCTTGGAATGATTTAATATAATGTGCATATCACTTTCAGTGATTTAAAACAGAAATTGGCAGTTATTGACATTGAAGGGAATTTTTCTTATGCTTCTGATTATCAGCAGGATGCATCAGAATTTTTTTTGCGTTTTTTGAACTATCTAGACAAACAGTACAGTCAAAATGAACAAAAGAATAATTTTGTCCAAGAATTGTTTAAAATGAAATGTATAGAAGTTTCTTGGTGCATAAAGTGTGAAAAAAACAGAAAACTTTTCAACAGGCCCCATGTCGTACATCTCGATGAAGAGTTAAGTGTTCTGTTTTTGTCTTTTCCTACCAATACTCAAGAGAATAGTTTGCCAAATCTTTTAAAGTATCATTGCAATAACACAAGACAGCAACAATGCAGAACGTGCTCATCGCTTTCTCTGCACGCTGTGGAAAAAAATTGTAAAGTTCCCAAAATATTTTATGTTGGCTCTGAATAGATTTTCCTCGGAAAAAACAGAAGGAGTAATGCAAAGAATAACTGACGCAATTGAGTTTCCCCATAAAATCGATTTAAGTTTTCTCCAGTAAGTAACAACGTTACTTTTTTAAATGTTTTATTGTGGAACATGATTTTTGTTAAAATTAGTGTAACTCATTCAAATAGATTAACGTTAATTAACTTTTGCAGGTTTAACGAGTCTGTAGCTTCTGTTATTGAGTACAACATTAAGGGTTTTATAGTGCATGAAGGAGAAAGTCAATCAGAAGGACACTATACAACATGGGTAAAATTAGACGAAGTTTGGGCTCATGCAAATGATAATATAATAAATAAATTTAAACAAGAAAATATTTATGAAACTATATTTAATCAAGAAAATGTATATTTTTTTATGTATGAGCGCATGTTAGAATAAACCTTTTATATTCAGAATAATTATATTTTCTTTCTATTTAACTTTATTCATATTTATATTCATGACCCGTTTAGCGGCGCAGCGGTTAGCCGCTGCGTGCGCGTCGATAACGTAGAACGGTCCGCGCTCGAAGCCGTGGCAGCCATATGCAATTAAACTTTTCACAACGTTGTACATGTGATATATGCCAAAAGACCTTCTCAGACAAGAGTAATCTAAAAAGACACATCGGTTCTGTGCATAATGAAGTCAGACATAATGAAGTGCGACATTTGCGGAGATGTGTTCAAACGAAAAGGTGATCTCAAAATCCACACGGATTCGATGCACCATGGTATCACCCCCACATGTTATATATGCCGAAAGACATTCACAAGAAAGGATAATCTCAAAACCCACATCGATTCAGTACATAATGGTCTCAATCATTCATGTGATATTTGCGTCAAGACATTCACAAAGAAGAGTTATATCAAAACCCATATCGCAACGTTGCATAAGGGAATCAAACATGCATGTGACATTGGTTGAAAATTATTTGCACAAAAAGATCGTCTTAAAGTCTACATCGATTCTGTACGTAATGGTGTCACATATGCATGCGATATATGCAGTAAATCATTTTCACAGAAAGCTTATCTGAAAACCCACATCGATGCAGTGCATAATAAGATTACTCGTGCATGTGATATATGCCCAGAAAAAGATATTCACCCAGAAGAGTAGTGTTAAAAAACACATCGATTTGGTGCATAAAAGTATTGACTCTTTGCATCATTTACAGTACAAACCTGGTAAAATTTAATAAATGTAAAGAAATTTAAATTACTTGTTCAGAAGTATAATTAAACATTTTTTTGTTCAACATAATACGTGTTTCTCCATTTTTATTTATTAATGTAAAAACAATGTTCAAATTGAAAAAAAAAATAATGATAAATATTTTGAGGAAAATGAAGCACAATAGTATAATTGCAAGCTAATATAATGTTCAACCCTTTCCTAATAAAATGAACATTTTTTATCTCATTTCAGCTTGATACAAGGGTTAATCAGAAGCCATTTTGAGCAGCTTCGCTTTTCAGGCCATCGCTTTTTCATAAATAGATATTATATATTACCTTCAAAGATGAAAAGCAACTTTCGTCGTCGCTCTCGAAGTTCATGTCCAACATATGCACCTGTACGACGAAGTTGAACGGCACCGTGATTCTCCAGTGATAGGTCTCGATCTTCTTGTATGGCCGCGGATAGGTCGGCGAGGCTATCTCGCCCGAGTCGCCGCTGACGTCGTCGTTGCCGTAGAGAAAACCGTACTGGGCCTTGAAACCCTTGGGTTTGCTCGTGCCCCCCGCCGTGGACGAGGCGCTCCTGAATCGCATCCAGAGCGGCTTCAACGAGTTGACAGCGTTGATTCTCGTGCCACAGAAAACCCCCACGAGCTTGCCTATGCCGTTGACCTCGCGAATCTCCAGATAATCGACATCGCAGTTTTCGCTGTCGAGCAGCTGAAAATCACTGAAGGTCAGGAATATCCGATTGCCCGGCGAATTGTTGAACAGCCAGGTGCAGTCGGCGTTGCTGGGATAGCTGTAGGGATAGTTGGGCGAGGCCACCACGCCGTTCTCCGCGGTGTAATTGCCGCCGCAGGCCGTCGTCAGGGTCGAGTAGATGGCGCTGAAGCTGTCCCGGGACCAGTAGAGACCCTCGTCGTCCGTGACGAAGTGCACCGTCAGGGCGTTGCCGCTGCTGTAGAACGGCATCGGCACCTCGTTCGAGGATATGGTGCCCAAGAGCGTACCGTCGGTACCCTCACCGTCGTAGATCTCGATCTTGTTGGTCCAGTACTGCTGGTCGACGAACTCCACGTGGATGAAGGACAGAGTGATCTTGTCGGCCGGATCTTTGGCCACTATGATGTACGAGCAGTTGACCAAGTCGTCCAGGTAGAGTAGATTCTTGGTCGAGCTCAATTCACCCTGACCGTCGGCGATTATTCTCGCGCCGCAGGTCTGATTGTACGTGGCTTTGAAGCCCTTGGCCGAGACCATCGAGTCCGTCCGCATCGTGACCAGCATCTGATTCCCCGTCGACACGTGCGAAGCTTGGCTCAGTATCGCCTCGCAGTAGGTGGCCAGCAGCGGTGCATTGGCCGTGGCGCCGTCGTACACCTTGACGTAGTCGTCCGAGCAGTTGCGACTCTTCTCGATATCGAGCTCGACGAAGGTCAGATTGACGGCGTGAAACTGGTCGACCGTGATGAGCCACTCACACCACTGATTGTGCGGATAATTGGCGGGGTAATTGGCCGAGTGAATGACGCCGAACTGGGTGGTGAATTTGCCGCCGCAGCGAAGGGGCACCGAACGGTAGACGGCCTCGAAGCCGTAGCTCGCGTAGGCCGGCGTCGACGTGTACTTGACGAGCATACGGTGGCCGGTGCTCGTGTAGGTCACCGGCGTGCTGGAGTAGCACAGGTTGTCGGCCAGCTGCGGCGCCGACTCGTCCGCGCCGTTGAAGATCTCTAGCGATCCGTCTGAAATATTTTAAATATATTTTTTATTGTTTTCTCTTTATTGAAATTGAAAATAAATACTCGCCGATGTGACAGGTATGCGTCCTGGTGGTCTCCAATCGGGGGAAAGTGATCTCGATGCTCTTGTCGATGTCGACCTCGATGATCCAGTGGCACTCGACGAACGGATAGGGCACCTTGTTGCCCTCCGGATAGCCAGGGGACGTGAACTTGCCCGACGGCTTGGACAGTCGCTGGCTGCAGCCGTTGGCGTACCACTCGAGTCGGAAACCCGCGACGTGGTTGCTGCTCTCGCCGCTGCCGACGAACGTGATGAAGACCTGTCGCTGAGTCGAGCGAACGATGCGCCAGGTGAAGTCGAGGTAGGTCTCGTTGTTCTCGCAAATTTTGGCCAGTTCTTTGGTGGGGTAGCCCAGGTCACCCTCCCTGATGAGGATGTAGTCGACGCCGCTGTCGCAGGCCTGCACGTCCACGTGCGAGAACGTGATGTTGACGGTGTTACCCGCCGGTACCGTGATGATCCACGAGCAATTCTCCGCGCCGCCGAAGTCCGCCTCGTTGTAGAAATTTGGTGACTCGATGACCCCGTGCAGGCCCGTGACGTTGTTCCGGCACTGGGTCTGGTACTTGAGATGGAAGCCGCGCGAGTTCGTGAACACGTCGCTGTGGAAGGTCAGCCGGGCCTGATTGCCGCGCGTCATGACGCTGCCGGGCGACTGCCGGCCGCAGAACTTGCGCTTGTTCTGGGCGTAGCCGTCCGGCTGGAGATCGGCCAGCTCGAGATAGTCGAATATGCAGCTGACGTGATCCTCCAGGTCGAAGTCGATGAAGACGATTTGAATGACGCTGCCGGCCGCGACGCGAATCGTCCAAGTGCACGTGGTCTGGTGGTAGTAGTTCTGAGGGTAGTTGGGAGACATGACGGCGCCCGACGAGGTGGTCAGTCTTCCACCGCAACCTGTTATATTAATTATTATTGTTTACCAAGTTCGACAACTTATCATTATACTCGTTCATTTCGAAGACACGATAAAGCCATCATTTTTTATGAGTAAAAGAAAAATAATACGAGAAGAATAAAGATAAATTTTGCAAAATTATCGGCGTGACCACCGTAGTTATTTTACTATCACTTGCAGTTTTAGTGACTAATTGAATTACCCCTAATATAGCGCGTGTAATACTATGATGTATTACATCGGTATGGGTTCGAAGATACATTCATCATTTTGTGTGAATTTTTCTCCGCAATATATGCAGTACGTACGAGTAAGTCAATTATGCGCCTGCGTGAATGACATTTTCATTACAATTTCAGTGTAGTTTCAATGATACGAGGTTGCCTCTATTCTATCCCATCGCAGTGCATCACTGCGTACGGCAAATCAACCGTGCAGGGGGAAAGTATCGCCAAGAAGTCATCGCACGGTGTCACCTTGACAATACAGGAAAAGTGCGTTCAGTTATGAGCGAGCAATTTCTGCAGTGAGCAAGTGTTCAAGAATTTGAGAAATCGAGGTACAGTGTTTACTACTTGAAAAATATAACCTTAAAGAACTTTTTCAGTGCAAATCGTGCAAATTCAGAGTAAAAATACATATCATTCATCGAGTGATGGAAAATAAAGAGGACACGGTTAGGTAATATTTTTTATGTGCATGTTATAATTTTTCAAGCAATCACTTCATTAAACTTCATTGTTTTATAGAGTGAAGGATGAACCGAACGATACTTGTCCAGATACAGGTGACGATTGTAAATTCAATGCGGTGGAATCTTGCGATGCCAAAAATTATGAAAGGTTCCCGTTTTACAAAGCACTTGTGAGTTCAATGATTATGTTCACTTTTCTTGATATAAAAAACTATTTTAAAAATAATTGATTTTAGACGAATCACCATTGGCGTGGGCAGTATGGGTGCCGTGGGTGCCGCGGCACCCCCACTAATTTTGAAGGAGCGCCTAGAAGCGGAATATTTAAAAATAAAAATCACCCATTTTTCACGTAATAAACATATTGATAACTAAATATGGAATCGTAAATTACCAAAGCGCACATAGAGATTTTTAGTAACCGAATTAACCCATACCAAACTATTTTTTTTATCTTTGAGAACAAAATATTGAATATGTAATCCAAGTAAATGAAATAATAAATGCGAACAAACTAAATCAATTTTAAATATTCAATTGTTGCTCGTTCAAATAAAAAAGTGTTCAAAAAACTAGGAACGTTATTTATAGATATGAAATTGGACTTGAATTTTGACCAAGAACGCGATGCACAGTCTACAACCAAAAAATTTGGCATCGACAATGATGAACTTCGAGCAGAAGTCAGATTACTTCGAACGAAGAAAGATACAAAATCATTTCCATGCACAGTAATTGAATGGCTTAATTGGTTATCTATACAGAATAGAAAACTTTGTTACCCCACTTTTTATAAATTAGTATCTACGTTTGCGTCAATTCCTGTCACCAGTTGTACTTGTGAGCGTAGTTTCTCTAAACTTAGCATTATAAAATCAAAGCTACGCTCAACAATGTTGCAAGATCGTTTGGAAAATTTAATGGTTCCATTTATTGAACAAGACTTGGCGGTAAATATTGATCCTATTGAGGTAATTGAAGAATTTAAAAAAATTGTTCCTTTTGATAGACGCATAGTATTGTAAAATAAATTATATTTTTATCAAATTTGTAATTTTATCTAAGTATCTCTTTTTTTGTACCCCTTTTTCTAAACTTACATTATTTATAATTATCAATAAAAATAAAAAAATTTTGTACTCATCAAAGTCTAAAAAAAATATATACAAGCTGAGCAGAAAATTTGAAATTGGCACCCACACTAGTTGAACCCTGGCCACGCTAATGCGAATCACACGAATGCAGATAAGGAGTTAAAGCAAAAGTCGGATCAGAAAATATTTATTGATTTAGAGTACAAAAATGTTAAACTTGAACCACCGTCGCTATCGACAACCATCTGTAAAATTGAGTATCAAAGTTGCCTACCTATTGTAAAAATAGAAAACCAAATTCAGACTCATTATTCGATTAGTAAGGATTTAGTAATATTGATAAAAAAAGGGTTCGATTATTATAATAATTGTAAAATTCAAGTAAAGTCGCATTTTAAGATAGTGGAATATGAGTATGAGAATACATCAAAAAGTACTTCTCAAACTAAATTGTCTCATAAGTGTAATTTTTGTCAAAAAACTTATAAACAAAAAGAGAGCCTAAAAAGACATGTGATTACGATACAAAAGAACAATAGATCATATAAATGTGAGATTTTCCACAAATTCTTGAGACAAAAAAGTAAACGCGTTCACATAAGTGCAGTACATGATCGTTGCTTTGAATGTGATATTTGTCAGAAATCATTTGGACTAAAGGGTAATCTAAAATCTCACATAAATGGAGTACATATTCGTAGCAAACCTTTTGAATGTAACATTTTTCACAAATCATTTGGTCAAAAAAGTCACCTCAAAGCTCACATAAATGCAGTACATGATTGTAGCCAACCCTTCGACTGTGAGGTTTGTCGAAAATTATTTGGACTAAAAGGTAATCTTCAAACTCATATAAATGCAGTGCATGATCGTAGCAAACGTTTCGAGTGTGACGTTTGTCACAAATCATTTGGATATAAAAATCACCTCAAAACTCACATAAATGCAGTACATAATCTTCTCAAACCCTTTGAATGCGAAATTTGTCACAAATTATTTGGATACCAAAGTACCCTCAAGAATCACATAAATGCAGTACATGATGGTAACAAACCTTTTGAATGTGACGTTTGTCAGAAATTATTTGGAGTAAAACAAACGCTCAAACGTCACTTAAAAACAGTCCATGACCGTAGCAAACCCTTTGAATGTGACATTTGTCACAAGTCATTTGAAGAAAAAGGAACCCTGAAATCTCACATAATTAATGTACATGTTTGTAACACAAAAAAATACCCGAAAAAGACATGCAATAACACAGCATAATTGAAGAAAAATCTAAAAACGTGAGATTTGTCCGTAGGCACTTGGACACAATAAAAATCTCTCACATGAGAATGTTTTAATTTTATGAAGAACAATAAATTATTTTACATTATTACTTGTTTATGCTTGTGAAAAATCATTGATTTACCTTTATACAATATCTAAAATAAAAATAGTAGTCTCAGAGCACGTGTAAATTATCATCCGAGGCGAAGCCGAGGTTGATAATCACGTGCTCTGAGACTTTCTTTTTTCGCTACATAGGTGCAAATACAATTTTTTGTTAATCATCTAGCCTAAAGTAACATTTTGATTTTGCTCAGCGGGAGTAAAATGTTACTTTCAGTTGGGGTGGCACAAAAAATATTTCTCTAAGAACCTATTTTGGTTTTGAAGCAATATTGATCTATTAACATCTCCCAATAACCTCCAGCACTAATTTTCTTAAACTACCAATAATCCGTGTCCGTTCCAAACACCATAACAATTTTACTAACAATGGATTTACACGATAGCCACCATTTCTCATATTTATGCGCTTCGCACTCATAAGCTATAAATCAGCCTCCTGCCCATCAGGCTATTATGAATTTAAATAATCCCACAATCAATCACAACAAGATAATTTTATTTTTTCAAGAGAGGATATATTATATTAGTAAAAATTACCTGTTGTAGCGCTGTGCCAGTGAATCTCAAAACCTTTGTCTTGCAGCGAAGTGTCAGAAACGAACTTGATGTACATCTGATTGGTCATGCTGGTGATTTCGCTCGGTATTTGCGATCCGCAATATTTACCGAGCAGCGGTGAATTGCCTTGAGATCCACTTCTGCAAATTTTTCGGCAATTAATAACCGTAACTCAAAATTCTTTCATGATCCAGATCCATTACCTTATCTCCAAATAATCGTAATTACAATTTTGAGATGTCTCCAGCTCGAACGAGCTGACGTTGAGCGTCACGACGTACTTATTCTGGGCCGTGATCAGCCACACGCAGGACTTATTTTTCGGATACTTTTTCGGATAATTCGGCGATCTCAGGGTTCCCGTGGCGGAGTAGTAGCGGCCCCCGCAGTTGATCGTGTCGTTGATGAAATTGTAGGACGCCTGATAGGTGGTACCCGAGCGATCGTTCGGATTGGGCATGTGATACAGGAAGGTGAGATCGTTGCCCTGAGTGGTCATTATCTGGGGCGGCACTTTGGAGACGCAGTAGCGCCCCAGAGACTTGGAATCGTTGCTGAGGTACCCCTCGAACATCTCGATGAAGTTGGAATTGCACTCCATGGAGAGGACGGACTCCTGATTGGGAAAATTGAGCCAGGTCACTTGAATAGCGTGGCCGACTGGTGCTCGAATGGTCCACAAGCAATCGTTGGTGTAAATGGAGATGTCGGCGCCGGGTATGTCGAGGGTTCCCGGGGCTTCCTTGATGATACCACCGCACTCTAGCGATTCAATTAAAAAAATGAAGTAAAATTTCCTTAAAAGTGTCAATAATTCTCACCTCGATCGATGGTGGAGTAATTGGCTTTGAAGCCGAAGTTGTGCACGTTGCCGTCGGTGAAAAATTCCAAAAACATGTAATTGAAGGTCGAGTAGATGGGCTCGCGCGGCATGTAGTGCTCGGCTCCGCACAGACTCTTCAGCAGCGTCGAGTTCCTCGTGTCGCCGTCCCTGATCTCGAGCTTGTCGAAGTAGCACTCGAGGGCCGACTCGTTGCCGTCGTCGTAGCTCACCGCGCCGTCCTCGATGTCCATGAACTCGAAGCTCAGCACGATGGATTTCTTGGCCGGCTGGGCGATGAGATAGACGCAGTCCTTGGAGCCGGGATAACGGTTGGGATAGAAGGGCGAGGTGAGGATGCCCTCGGGCTCGGTAAAGACGCCGCCGCAATCGATCTCGTACTTGAGCACGAAGCCCTTCTCCTCGATGTTGGCGTCGCTCTCGAAGCGGATGAGGATGCGGCTGGAGTTGACGACCAGAGGCGCGGGTAGGGCGTAGCTGCAGTACTTGCCGACGAGCGGCGACTTCTTCGGGTCGGTGCCCTCGTATATCTGCAGAGAGTCGTACATGCAGCTGGGCGATCGCTCGACGCCGAAATCCAAAAACTTCAGCAGGACTTTCGATCGCGCCGGCAGTCGTATCTCCCAGTCGCAGATCATGCCGGCCTGATAGCCGCCCGAGTGGTAGCCCGGCGACGTGATCACGCCGCTCTCGCTCGTGTAGATGCCGCCGCAGTCGGGCGAGCCCGCCACCGCGAGGAACGACAGGTGAAAGCCCGTGTCCATGCCGGAACCGTCCGAGTCCGCGTGGAAGTGGACGGTGAGCTGCGAGCCCGAGCTGGTGATGGGATTCGGCTGGGCGTGGCCGCAGAAACGGCCTAGCTCGTGCTGGCCGAGGTAGTTGGTCTCGTTGATCTGTGGATGAGAGGCGAAAAAGGTGTAGCGGTCATTTTTTTTATACTGACTATAGTACATTTTAGACGCGTCTTGCGAACATACTAATTTTGTTAGTCTTGCTTCGAGAAAGTGGCTTCCGATAATAAATTTGCTTTTAATTTGCTTTATATATTTTAAAACTAGTCATTGTTTTTGACATGCGCCCTATAATAAAACACTTTTTTGAGCCCATTTGATCAACCTGTACTCATAATAGGGACCATGTTCCGTAATTACGTCGTTTACCTTATATTAGCTTTGTGTATCGAGAAGCACGCTTCATGCTCTCTGTGGCAATTCGCTTAAAAAGTAATTTTACGTCGCAGTGCCCGGGTACGGTTCGATACCACGAGGCAGAAATTATTTTTACTTAAATTTTTTTTATCAAAGTAAAAAGAATAATGTAAGAGTTTCGCTTTTAGCTTATGTTAATTTTGAAATTGAAAATATATTGATAATCAAACGCTTCTTTATACATGTTAAAAATAATAATTAAGTGATATGGTTGATTTAAAATATGGGTCCGCGATATTTTCATTAAAAAGTAACTTTATTTACTTAAAATGACCCGACATATTTGTTCAAGGCGCTTGTATACATTGTTTTTAATTGAATTTGCGTTTAAATTGAAAGTGATTTTTTTGTTAAAAAAAAAATGAAAAAAATTTATTTTGAATAATTCACGGTGAAAATACTTTGAAAAAGAGTTGGAAAATTTTCCTCTCTACTAAATAAAAAAAATTATCATATTTTTTCAACAATTTTCTTATCTTGCAGGTTCAAGGTGACTGTCCCTCTTTAAGGTTTTCTTTTAAATTGGGCAGTTAGCCATTTATTATTCAAGAAGCTTGCCAATTAAGTGTAATTATAATTAGTCGAAAAAATTAATTACATGAATACTTCAGATTACACTAAATATTGTTTTGGTACAAACTTGAAACTTTTATTCGATCATTAATAAATGAGTATCAGGTAGGGCATATAATTCTCTAATAATATATAATGAAGGATCTTTTTATTTCTCGAGTATCGCAGACGTATATTATTTACCAAATGACAAAGGAAGGAATTATTCATGAACTAAGAAAGATATATTTCATTTCCCAAGTAACCCAGCCCCATATCTTTTTTAAAATAATCGTATTATTTCACGACGAGATGAAGCGTGCGGTCGTCGTATTGTTTTTCAAGTTTTTGCTCTTGCATTACAGATTTTTCAGAGAAAGTCTTGCTGCAGACAAGGCTGAACAGAAGCGGCCGGGTAAATTTTACCCTTTCGATGCTTTCTACCACGTAGAAGATAAAAATTGGGTCGGAAAAACTTTGTTTTACACCTGTATAAGAATATAGACATGAACAATTGCTCATGTTCATTTCGAACGTGTTCAATCAAACGGACCACAAGTTGTCCCCATTGTACAGACGAGACGAGGTGCTGGACTTTGTGTTACTGTCGCCTTACAGGGAGAATCTCCTGGTTTACAGTTCAGTCGGCGACGACAATGTCAACGGCACCACGCGGAAATCAGTCAAGTTGGTGAAGGTTCAATTTTCCAATCAATGCGACTACGACGATACCAACGACCGTGTCCCGCTCAACACGACCCACACAAGCTGCTCAGCGTTGTGCCTTACGTCAACGCGAATTATAGCTTCTACTACGTCGCAGAGGCGCGGGGATTTTCGGTTGTACCACTTAGACGAGGAGTGGGAAATTTTGGTCGTTTGTTCATAGAAAAGACGTTGGAAATGGTTAAAGTGACTTTGATCAATAAATACAGTAAGCAACTTAGTTCGCATTGTGTTGGTTGTTTTTTTTTTTTTTTTTTGATTTTTTTTTCAAATCACCAAGCTGACCTGAAATTCAAATTATATAAGCATAGTATTCAGATTGAGACGATCTTTTTAAAAACCCTTCATTTTCTTGTAGCTCGCCCTCGATGATTTATTTCATCGCTACCTTCTTATGTCCCGTTATAAGAAAAGTACAATTGCTATAAAGCTTTCAGTATGACTTGTTGAGCAGTATGAAGCACGAGGATAAAACGATAAAATTGGATCAGGATCTTTTGGAGCTGGTTGTACACAATGCACCGGTCAAACGTGGATAATTTTGGCTCATGATGACCCTCGAGGAGGACGAGGCAGTGCGTAACATGTGCAAGTATCGCAATCTGGAAGACCAGAGAAGAATCAGGCCGCCATACACGCGTGAAAAAAAAAGACTAATTAGGCGTTTCAACGAAAAATACGAGGTCACCGGTACGAAGACCATCGACAAGTTTGGCTGCGAGTTCGATCCGGCCATCTTGAAGCCGAGATTCATTGATCAGGGACACGGCGCCTACTGCTTGATGATGACCTGCAAGGATGCTCTAACCTTCAGGTTAGCCGCAATGAGAGTCGTGAAATCATGTTTTTCTATTGACCAACGTAAAATACCTCAAATCACAAAAAAATAAAATTAAAATTTTTAAAGCACATAATGAGTATTCCAAGGGCTTATTTATAAGAAAATCGTAATTTTAAATCAATAATTTAATCATCGTAAAAAATTGTTCGCTTGTAAAGTCTATCATTTTTTATGTTTATTTTTACCTATTATAGCCAGATTATACAAGTACAAACAATTTACGTCACTTTTATGGTACCTAAATGTTATTTCCATAAAAAGAAAAACGTTTTATTTTCATCTTACTTGAGATACATGGGTGGTTTGCAAAATAATTGCAACTTTTGAAATGATTTTTGTCCCCGCATACAAATTTAAAACTTTAGATAGATAAGCGCGTTTAAAAGTTACTATTTTAAATATTAAAATTTGAAAGTCAAAATTATGTCTTATGTGTTTGAATTTCTCAACTTTTCAATTTCAAAATTTTAAATATAAAAAAAAACAAGCCGTTTTCAAACGAACAAGCATTCCAAATAATTAAAATTTATTCAAATAAAAAGCGGGAAAATAGTACATGCAGTTCAACTTCATTATTTACGGTACACAAATCATAGAATCAATATACGTGTTTATTTCTTGGTCTAACTGAGTAGCGGTATATTATAAATTAAAAAGGAAATTATAAACGTAGAACTGACTAGAGGTACATTATGAATTGAACAGGAAATTATTAATGTAGAATTATAAAGTATAAATAAATTATATCTAACGATAAAACACAAACAAGTGTGCTCAGTTGGTACAAAACAGTATTTGAATGGCAAAGAGTATTTGAAACTAATTCAAAATGTTAGCAAAACAGACGGATGATCTAATAATAGAACTTTATTACTGGACGAGATTTTCTCTTCAATTAAGTGGTTTGTGGCCTTTTCAAAGAAAAGAAGTAAAAGTTGTATTAAGGACATTTTACATTACCTATGCAACGTATTTTGGCCTCTGTGTGGTAAGAAATTAAGCATTCATTTTTAGCGCGAATTCATTCAAATCAATAATCATTTTTTCAAAAACAGATGTACGGGAACTATAGGAGGGTGCACCAAGATGCGATGTCGATCGAGTACGAAATTAAGAGTGGTTGTGAGCTGGTGCTGGCGATTGCTCTCATAACGTTGTACTCTCTATACTTCACATCCGAACATCACGTACTAAATGCAAAAATAACCATACTTTGTCCATTTATGTCTTATTTGTACAAATTTTCAGTTTCAGCGACTTATGGAAGATAGAACTGTTTATTACTTCAAAATTGCTGACAAGCATGATAAGCAAATATTCGACCAAGAGAACAATGTACTTTATCGCGTGTCGATATATTTCTCTGTTTTTATCCTTACTTTGTCTTTTATCTACTCGTCCTTGCCAATATCACTACCATTCGTGGTTAATACTTTAATGCCAGGACGATATAACATTAGCAGGTTTCATGTGACAACGGCAACTTATATAATCAATCATAAAGAAAATTTTTATGTTGTTTTCTTTTGCGATTTATTAATATTCACGTGTGCCGGATTATTTATAGTCGCAGTGATTTCAAGTGTTCTTGGTCAAATTTCTTTTAGCAGATCTCAATTCATTTTAATAACGTGAGTTTTTTACTCCACTAGAACCCTTCATTCAATAATATCAAGTATAATCAACTTTTATCATTAATTTCAGTCATAAATTGAACTATTTGAACCAGACGATTCAAAATAAATATTTTGATCGGAATGAAGAAGTCAATCGATTTATTGAAAACCAAATCCGTAAAGTGCATTGTGATTACGTCGAATCACTAAGGTTTATTTTGTATTGAACGAAAAAATGAAACTTACAAGAATTATAAATGTCATAATCATCCAATTATAGGCTGCTACAATTTTTCAATAAATCAGGAGAAAAAATTTTATTCGTGGGATCTGTTGTTATTTTCGGGGCTCTCAGTTTTTCTGGATTATTGGTGAAGCAAATTTTTCGTTTACTTCCCAGAAATTTATTCAAAGATTTTTTTCATTTTTAGATTGTCACGTTGTGGAAAACGAATTTTGTAGCTTGTCTACAAATGGCAACGATATTTCTTATTGTGATTACAGCTTCATTTATGATCAATTTTGTAGGTCAAATAATCGTAGATTCAAATGAAAAAGTTTATTATGAATGGTAATTCTTTTACTTTAATAAAAATGGGAATAATATTATGGAGTAACAAAAAACTTTCGACAGTTACAACTGCGGGTGGTATGGTTTTCCAGTTAAAACAAGAATTTATATAGTTATGATGTTGGCTAGATCGAGAACATTTACTTGCTTGAATTGTGGTCCATTCACACTATTGCAATTGAATTTTGAAAATTTCAGTCTAGTATGAAAGTATAATGATTTTCACATTGAAGTGAATTTAAATATGAACTCTGGATTTTTTTTCAGATCTTACAAAATGTTATATCATATATAACAGTCATGTTATCTATTATTTAAGATTCTTTAATTACTGCTAATAGTAAGTTATTGGAATAAGAAGTTACCGAATATTCTATATATTCAATAAGTGATATAAAATGTTCAAATTATCTAAATACTACTGTAAAGTCCTTACTATAAAATGTTTTTAATAAAAACGCACATCTGAATTTGAAATTAATTTTTTTTTGGTTTGAGAAAATTCAGTTGTGAACTCCATACAGTAAAAAAATTAACACCTCAATTCAACGCATGTCATGCACATTTTGTTTGGTAAAACAACGACGTATCTGTAGCTTTGCGCATAACATAAATTGTTGTTACAACGCTGCAGTATAAATACCAATAAAAAAATCGTAAAAGATTAATATTTTTGAAATTCTAAGCGATTGTGTTGTGTGCGTGAGTGAGCAAAAAGATGTTCAAGAATGAAGAGAGCGGATCGTTTTCCGATTCCGACGGAAGTGTCCAAAGCGAGGAGGATGCGAATCGTTTTAACCAAACAAACTCATCAAAATTGAGAAGAATGCGTAAACAGTTCAACTGGGAGATCGAAGAAGATCGACGTAATTTTCTACATCGACTATATCCCGTGATCGGAAATTGGGTGGGTTAAATCCCGCATCTCTTCGACATTTTTCGCAAGAAAGAGATCGATTGGCTTCTGATGGAGCACATCAAAACCATAGAAACCCCACGCAGATTGGTCAGTCGTTCGGCGCTCGTCAAGTTCGTAGCTTGCAGCGGCTACGAAGACGAGCCCGATGTAGACGAGAACGGCAAGCCACTGTTGTGTCGCACCATCGCGCTGCATCACCTGAATCGACGCATGTTCGCACCTCGTTCGGGTCTCGTGCTCTACAGGCTTTTTGAAGTCTACAACCGTTTCGACCTGAACTACGTGGACAAATTTGGCCGCACGCATTTGCACGTGCCCTGCGAGTGGAACTACGCCGAGGTCGTCGAGAAATTTCTCCGGCTCGGCGAGGATCCGAATTGTATCGACTTCGTGACGGATGATTCGCCGCTTCATTCCGCTCAGATCAAAGGCTTTCAGGAAGAGATCAGCCAATTGCTGCTGGCTAGCGGGGCCAATCCAAATTTGGCCAATGTGAACGGAGTGACGCCGTTGCACCTCATGAGTGCTAGAGATCAAATTTACGTATGGGACTTCGCTCAGATGTTTTTCGAGATCACCGACAAAAGCCATCAATTGATACAGATCGACGCCCGGGATAAGTTTACTGCACACCGCTGCAGTTGGTCGTGTCGAATCTTTTGCCGGATACCGTCGATCTGCTCTTGGATTGAGGCGCTGATCTGTGGGCGAGGTTGTTTTTAATTTTCAATTGAAAGTAGCGTCTCGCACTTTGATCGTCGTCCAGTGCCTGGAAAAAAGAGGATACGAGCTGGACTTGACTTTGGCTGCAACGATCATGACTTTTTTCGCCAAACACGGATTGATCGAGATGTCGTCGAGTTTTAACGAATCTTGGTGCGAGGACAAAAAGTTCCAGAGCGAAGCGAAAAAAATTACGATGAATTCGAGCTTGACGCTCTACGACTTGATCTAATTGCGACCCGACGAGGCATCGAAATTACTAACGTGTACGGACTACTTCAAGTTCGCACAACAAATATACTGGTCCTTTCCGAAAGAATCTCTCGGGGCTTGTGCTACGCATCTGTGCGAGAAATTGTCGAGAAGCTTTTGCCGACGATGTGCATTGGATTCTTTCTTGGAGCTGACGCAATACCGACTGCCAATTCTCTGCTGCGAAATGATCATCGATGAGCTGATGAATAAAGATTTATGGTATATTTGCTTAGCAGTTATAGGCCAAAGACAAAAGAATAATCGAGATAGTATAATAAAGTGTGTTAACAAAAGACCCGAAAGGGCTAGAAAAGCTCCAAATAAACTAAAAGATTATGTGTGGCGAAGATCATGAAGGTTTTTGTGGTGCGTTTTCTTGGCAACTAGAAGCCAAAGCGTGTGATTATCTTTCAATGCCTAGTGTTATATAATGTTGAAGATTGACTTTGTTATTTAAATAATTTAAATAAATGCGTTAATAAAAAAATACGCTTTGATTTCCTTACGATCATTTGAAGTAAAAGATCTCAAATAATGTATGCATTAACGCGGCACCTTAGCCTTTTTTCATTGTTGTTTTGCTGATTTTGTACAGCAGTAACTTTAACGTCAACATAAAAATCATCAATAATAAACGTAATGAATGAATTACTTTCACTTTTTACTTTTGGTAGATCGATCTCTTTAATCGTCGCTTAAAGAAGACGATTTTCTCCAAGCATCAGCAGCTGCTGGCATATTTTTGGATACTCACTGTACCGCATTTCACGGAAAATATTACAAGTTAAAACGAATACTTTCACGGTATCCTGTTAATAATAATAAAACTCCCCATGCTTAGTTTTATCCCGTGAGCCATGAGGCCGATTTTTAAAGCGTTTCGGTAATGGTCGGTAATGGTTTCAACAATCTTGAAAAAATTTAGGCAGATTCTTTGAAAAATTTTGATGCAGAAGCTCTTCAACGGTTCCTGGGTATAGTTCGTTAATTCAGCAGACCCGTAAAATGATCAGAAATATCCAAAGTCAAACCAAGTAATCATTACCATTCATGCAGTAACTGACATTTAATAGCCACTATTCGTTAAAAAAATTTTAATTTAATTTTATTCAATTAATTTGATTTTTACCTCGAGGTAGTCTTTTTCACAACTCGGATGAGCCTCTATCGACATCGATAGCACAGTGACAACGATCCTTTTGCCGGGTGACACGCGAATCGTCCAGAAGCAGTCTCTGTCGTCCGGATACGCCCCGGGAAATTTCGGCGAGTATATGGCTCCGAAGTCTTGCTCGATGGTTCCTCCGCACATCGGTGGTATTTGTTGCCAATCCAAAGCGAAACCTTGGTCTTTTATCGGGTTCGCGGACTGATACCAAATGAGCAAGTTCGATTGCGACGACAGGATCGTCCCGTTGTTCGGTAACTGGTCGCCGCAGTAGATTCCTATGACCGGATGAGACAAGGAACCTCCATCGAAAAGCTAAAATTTTAAAACACTTGATATAATGCAGCTCAACGAGCCATTACTCGATTTACCTGACGAAATTCGACTACCAACGGGTCAAATTTCGTTTTCATTGGACGCTTGTATGGAGAATTTAAGGGCGCGTATGGTGCTGATTTATCGATTGTTTTTAATTTTTTTAATTTTTTTTTACTAGTAAAAAAAAAATTTATGTCTACAATGTACATGTGAAAGTACATGACTTCCAGAGTATTTTGTGAAAATTTCATAAAAAAATTTTCATTTTTGGACCTTTGAGAGCAAATCTACGGAAAAGTCGTGAAAATTCCGGTGAGGAACGTAACTTTTCACAGAATCATCTGAAACGAAAAATGCAAAATTACCTCATTAGTTTATGAGTTTTATCAGGTACTGAAGTAGAGTTTTTTCAATTATAGTGAATTTTCGAATTTTGACGTAATTTTGAAGTTGAAAAAAACGTTAAAATTGCGTCCAGACAGAAAATCGACCTTTTTTTTCGGAAAAGTTGTTATAAACAAAAAAATTTTCGGAAAAATCGAAATATCTCGACGTTAGTACCTGCTCTGTTTAATGCCTATTTCTATTTAAAAAAAACACTTTTTCCAAGAAAACAGTTATTATTTCACGCCTGAGTGCCTGACATGAATGCAACCACTACCTACACTCATAAAAACTCATATGAAATTCCATGTGAAAAGTCATATGGTTTTCCTCGTGGTAGGCCATAAAAATATTTTTAAAAACAATATACAGTTCATTATAAACGAACATTATATTTATTAACAAAAATGATTGAGATTTACATTATTGTGAATGTCATTTCTATTCAATATTATTCAAGATATTTAACAATATATAATAATCATTTTATTTTTGTAGTTTACCGAGTACTCTATTTTAAAGCTCTTAATGTTTAGATGGTTTTATGATTTTTCTCTTCTTTCCTAGGAATGTTAATTTTTTTGTCTCCTAGAGTACACGGCCTTTATTCATACCTAAAATAATAATAAATGAAAAGAGTTATTACTAAATGATACATACATTGTACAATACATTGTACTGTTACTTTAAAATTGTAAACAATATGATCATAAACAATTTTGATACATTGCCTCCACATAATCAACATGTTTATAGTAAAACAAATTAGTTTTAATGTTGTCTTTTACTCATTCAATTTCCATCGTATTAAATTGAAAGATCCGTGGTTTATTTTAATCACTAAAATGGACAAAAGTGCGAAGAAATTCGAGGAAATTGTTTCCAAAGATAACTCACGTGAACCCGACATTGATGTTTCAGACGACAAAAAATACATATGTGATATTTGTCAGGAGGCATTTACACTAGAATCAAGCATGATAAGACATCGAGGTACAATTTACAATGAACAAAACGATTTTGCATGTGACAAGTGCGAGAAGAAATTTAAGTTCCAAAGTCATTTGAGTAGACACCAAATATCGGAACACAAAAGCTGCAAAGATTTCACTTGCGACAAGTGCGAGAGGAAATTCGAAAACAAATCAACTTTACTTGAGCATAAAAAAATATTCCACGAAGTTTTCAGAGATTACTTATGCGAATAGTGCGCCAAGAGATTTGGGAGTAAGCAGAGTTTACTGAAACACGTAAAGGAAGTTCGCGAGGAGCACAAGAATTACGCATGCAAAGAATACTCATGTGATGATTGCGAGAAGAAGTTTAGACAAAAATCGACTTTGCTTTTGCACCAAAGAACGGTCCATGAGGGTCGGAAAGATTATGCATGCGACAACTGCGAAAAGAAATTTGGGTTCAAATCACATTTGCTCGATCACCAAAAGGCAGTACACGAAAATCGCAAAGATTATGTATGCGGCTATTGCGAAAAAAAATTCGGACATAAATCTACTTTGATCAGACACCAACAGACAGTACTCGAAGGACGGAAAAAATACCCATGCGAGATATGCGAAAAGAAATTTGGACCAAAATCGGAATTGATAAAACACCAAAGGACAGTCCATGAAGGTCGCAAAGATTTCACTTGTGATAAATGCGATAAAAAATTTGGACGAAAAACGCATCTGCTCATGCACATAATAACAGTTCATGAGGGTCGCAAAGATTTTGCATGCGACAAGTGCGAGAAGAAATTTGGACATAAATGTAATTTACTTTTGCACATAAAAACAGTCCATGAGGGTCGCAAAGATTATGCATGCGACGAATGCGAGAAGAAATCAAGAAATAAATCAGATTTATGGAAACACAAAAGGACAGTCCACGAAGGTCGAAAAGATTTTGTATGCGATAATTGCGAGAAAAAATGTGGACATAAATGTAATTTACTTTTGCACATGAAAACAGTCCATGACAGTCGTAAAGATTACGCATGTGATAATTGTGATCAGAAATTTATAAATAAATCGAAATTGATTAGACACCAAAAAGCAATTCATGATCAAGGTCGCAAAAATTACGAATGCGACAGTGCGAAAATACGTTTGAATAAAAAGGGCATCTGCTCGTTCACCAAAGGATAGTCCACGAAGGTCGCAAAAATTACGCACGCAACAAATCCGTATAAAAATTTGGACGAAAATCGGAATTGATAAGAAACCAAAGGAAATTACACGAAGGTCGCAAAGATTTTGCATATAATAACTGTGAGAAGAAATTTGAAAAAAAATCAGATTTAAGCACCGAAATACAGTTCCCGCAGGTCGCAAAAATTATACACGCGACAAGTGATTTAATTTTTTTGATTTGATTTTGCACCAAAAGGCAATACTCGGAAGTCAGGAAGATTATGTGCTCAACAAGGGCGAAAAAATTGGTAATTTATGATTGTAAATCTATATATGAATATTCTAAAATTTTAATAAAAATTATGCTGAAATTATTGTGTATTGAATAGCCTGAAACGACCTGATTTTCGGACGTTTAACTATCTTTGCATTTTTGTACACTGACAATGTGGGGTTTTCATTTTTTACTAATTACTAATCTTCGGGCCATTTTTTGACTCCTTAGTTTCTGATATACTTGGCTACTCGAGTTACTCGTGTGGACTTGATATGGTCCAAAGTCGTTATGTTTTAGGACTAATTGAAGAGTATTGCAATTTTGATCGTAAAAGCATTTATATTAATTGCCATACGTCAAGGAGAGCTGCGATAAATCTGAACAAAACACAATTTTGAAAAGTTATAATTATTCAAAATTGATCACGAATTTCTTGTTATACGTGTGAACTCGATCCGGTCCGAAATCGACAGCGCCGCGGTGCAGTTTGGGGAGCAGCCTTTGTACGTGCACAACCGCAATTGTAAACAATTTTGCTTATATCATAATGATATTAGTAATGATGAATGATGCGGTTACACAAGTGATAATAGTTACATAATACCAAAAATGACAGTAATGGTAAGCTATGCGATAGAGAAGGGGAATTGAAATTGAAAATGGTAATCAAGACGTTAATGAAAAAGTAAATGATAACGATGGTAATATCGACCTACCCATTAATCAAAATTACAATAATAACGATGGCATTGTTAACCCACGTATGAACGATAATCTAATTAATGATAACCGCAATGGTAAAAGAAATATTCATTCAATCGAGATATCATTACAAGCTCCCCTCGATGAGAGAATTTGGCAAATCGCAGTTTTATTAGATAAACAAAATCGAAGTAGATTAATTAAATCCTATTCCAATGAGCCCTACAACCACTGTCAAGAAATTAGAAAAAGAGTAAACTAATTTTTTTTTCATTCACAAATCAAGGCCGCTCAAAGTATCCTAAAATTTTTTACGTAAACTCATATTTTTAGAAACGAAATCATGCTTTGTTGTCTTCTTTCAATTTCACTTCTTTTCGTCAAATTTCGAGCGTACTGTGTGCGTATTCATTCTCGAAATCGTTTTTATTATTAAAAATAACATCCAACTTGGATAGAGGAAAAAGAGAGTTAGGGTTAAGAAACGATTTTTCACTTTATTTCATTAATGATCGATACTTCTAAAAAGTGGTGATAAATTTTACGTCTCATGTGGTACATTAGGAAGCGAAAAGTTTAAATGTGTTATTTATTTCCACTTTCGTTTTTTCGACGAATATACAGTCTGTCAGAGCACATCGACACTCGTACTCGGACTTGCGCCGAACGAGTTCCCGAGAGTTTGACCTTGGGTAATTTGCTTTCAATATGAACTCTGTCGAACCGAACAACTGGGCTCGCTATTCCATCATTTTTCCCACTTTAATCATCCAAAGCTCTCGACTCGGCCGTCAGGTGGCTCAGCGTCAAGAAAAAGTCGTACCCGCTAGAAGAAAGCGATTCTTCAGGGTACAAGTAGAGAGGTCCTAGCTATAATTTCATTTTCACTTTAGAGTTAATGACATGATCAGAAGAACTTTTTCAGAAATTTTATGTTTTGACACTTACCCAATTGTTGAATGATTTTTGCACCTTCATTGCGTTTAATTGGATTAACCTTCGCTTAGTTCTCTTCGTTATTCACCTTCGATGCATATGGTAACTGATTATATAGTTTCTCAAAGCAGGATTCAAAATTATACAAACACAACACTATATTTTCTGGGACGAATCTCAACATTAATAATTGCTTTACGTACGTAATAATTGAGCTTACTTGTCGCCAGCTCTTATACTGAAAAAGCATTCTAAGAAACTTCTCAGAAAGTCTTGGACGCATTTTACACAAAAAAATGAGTAAATCATTTCTTGTAATACACTGCCCGAAACTCGGTCACTGTAGGTAAATAAGTCATTAAATCGTTCTTTTGGCAAACTATTTAAGTTGTGAACCTCTTCATCCTCTAAATAGTTTATGTCATAGAATCTTTTATTATTCATAGGCGAACTGCGCATTGCTTGCATGAATAACTGCATATATCTTCCTTGAACGATGTACTGACCATTGATAGACTGCAAACCAGCGAGCAAAGGTCGGATCACAGGTAAGTAATATACTTTAA